TGGTTCCCTGTATATTTTTCTTTATTTCACTTTTTATAGCCTTTACTTTTTCCTCTATTTTGTGACCACACTCAACCATTTCTGTGAGCATCTTGATCATCAGTATTTTGAACTCTGCATCTGATAGGTTGGCTATCTCTTCATCACTTAGTTGTATTTTTGGAGCTTTGATCTGTTCTTTCATATTTTGTGTGTGTGTTGGCTCACCTGTTATGTTGTAAGGGGCAGAGCCTTAGGTATTCACCAGGGCAGAACAACCCATATTGCAGCACTGTAGTGCGGTATGTGGGGGAGGATCCCGAGAGGGAACTGTGCCATTTGCTCAGCTCTTTGCTAGCTTTCAGTCACTTCTCTCACTACCCACAAGCAAATTGGGCCCTTCTCATGCTGATTGCCAGGTGGGTGGGTTTGTGTACATTCTAGGACCCCATGGGTCTCTCCAACAAACTCTCCTGTGAGGCTGGAAATTTCTTCCACCACTGCAACCCCCACAGGTTTTTATACCAGAGATTTTGAAGCTTTATTTTGCCACGCTGGAATCCTGGGCTGTGCAGTCTGCCTCACTCCCCAGTTGTTTCTCCTGTTTATCTGCATGCAAATGTGGGAGCACTGGGCCCACCAGCTGCTACCTTGCCACATTTCCTCTCTACCCCAGCTGCCTGTCTCCACTCCTCCTACCAGTCTGAATGAATGTTTCTTCTTTAACTCCTTGGTTGTTAGACTTCATACAGTTTGATTTTCTGGCCATTCTGGTTATTTTTTGTTTTTAGATTTGCTGTTAGGTTGTGTGAGAGGCAAAGAGTATCAACCTATGCCTACATCTTGGCCAGAAGTCCTTAGTTGGTTGAGTCTTGCGCATGCCCTGAACCTGCATCCTTGGTATGTGCCCTGACCAGGAATTGATCCCACAAAATTTGGTTTATGAAATGATGTTCTGACCAACCGAGCCATACTTCAAGGCTGTTTCTTTCTTTCTATTGGCTACTTGAGATGCTTCTTATTGGATGTACTATAATTTATGTGCCATAATAGTAGAAATTAAGGTGGTTTCTAACCTTCCACCATCATAAGCAATGCCACAATGAATAGCTTTGCATATATAAGTATGTCTGTAGGATAAACTCTCAGAAATAAAATTACCGAGTTAAGGGTATGTGAAATAAAAATTTTTATAGATACTGTAAATTTCTCTCAACTGAGATTTTTTCTTAGTCTGACCAACTTTTTATTATCAAACTTTTTGATATTTGCTAATTAGTTAAGTGAAAAATGGTATGTCATATTTGAAATTACACTCATTATTAGTGAGATTAAACATTTTTTCACATGTTTAAAAGTCCTTTGTGTTTCTTCTTCTTTGTCTTTTAAAAAATATATTTCATTCATTATGCTATTAGAGTTTTCCCAATTTTTCCTCCTATGTCCCCTCCACCTGGTACCCCCACTCCCTCCAGCAATCCTTCCCTTAGTTCACGTCCATGGGTCATTCATATAAATTCTTTGGCTTCTTCATTTCCTATACTGTTCTTAACCTTGCCCTGTCTATTTTGTACCTACCCATTATGCTTCTTAATCTCTACACCTTTACCCCCATTTTCTCCCTTCCCCCTCCCAACTGACAACCCTTCAGAAAATCTCCTTATCTATGGTTCTGTTCCTGTTCTGCTAGTTTGCTTAGCTTGTTTTTTTAGATTCAGTTATTGATAGTCGTGAATTTGTTGCCATTTTAAAGTTCATGGTTTTTTTCTTAACCATGGTTTTACCTTCTTTTTTTTAAATAAGTCCACTTAACATTTCATGTAATAATGTCTTAGTGATGATGAACTCCTTTAGCTTTACTTTGTCTGGGAAGCACTTCAATTCTAAATGTTAGCTTTGATGGATAGAGTAATCTAGGTTGCATGTCCTTGCTTTTCACCACTTTGAATACTTTTTGCCATTCCCTTCTTGCCTGCAAAGTTTCTTTTGAGAAATCAGCTGACAGGCTTATGGGAACAAATTTTGTAGGTAACTCTCTGCTTTTCCCTTGCTGCTTTTAAGATTCTCTCTTTATTGTTAACCTTTGGTATCTTAATTATGATGTGTCTTGATGTAGACCTGTTTACGTCCATCATGTTTGGCACTCTCTGTGCTTCCTGGACATCTATGTCTATTTCCTTTACCAAACTAGGGAATTTTTCTTTCATTATTTTTTCAAATAAGTTGTCAGTTTTTTTGCTCTTCTTCTTCTCTTCCTGGCATTCCTATGATTCAGATGTTGTTACATTTAGAGATGTCCTAGAGGCACCTTATACTATCCTCATTTTTAAAAGTTCTTTTTTCTTCTTGCTGTTCTAGTCAAATGCTTATTTCTTCCTTGTGTTCCAAATTGTCGATCTGAACCCTGGCTTCATCCCCTCCACTGTTGGTTCCCTGTAGAGTTTTCTTTATTTCACTTAGTGTAACTTTTATTTTTTCCTGGGTCTTTTTTATTTTGTTGCCGTACTCAATGAGTTCTTTGAGCATCCTGATCACCAGTGTTTTGAACTCTGCATCTGATAGGTTGGTTATCTCCATTTTGTTTAGTCATTTTTCTGGGTTTTTGTTCTGTTCTTTCATGTAGGCCATATTTCTTTGTCTCCTCGATTTGTCAAGTTCTCTGTGTTTGTTTCTCTGTATTAGGTAGAGCTGCTTTGACTCACTGTCTTAGTAGCCTATTGTAGAAAAGTTACCTGTAAATTGTGTGGGGCAGAGACTTAGGTAATTGCCAGGGTGGGGGCAACCTCCTTCACTGTTTTGTGTCTCTGTGTGGGGGAAGGGCTCAGAGAGGGAACAATACCACTGCCTGGCTTCTGGAGGCTTTCCAGGTGCTTGCCCCGTGTGATTGGTGCCTTTCCAGCTGTTGTCCTAGTGCTGAATCCCGGAAGAGGTGGGTCTACATATGTTTTCCTAAAAATCCGACAGTTCCTTCTGTGGCCCCAACCCCCACTGGTTTTTTACAGCCAGAAGTTATGGGTATTTATCTTTCTGGTACTAGAACCATGGGATGTATGGTCTGGCCTGGGGCCGGGATCACTTGCTCCCAAGGTATCCCTCCCAATTTTTATCTACCACATGTGAATGTGGGATTGTCTGTTTTGCTGCTGCCTCTCCATGCCACACCATGTCTCTGTGGCTCTCCGCCTGCCTCTGCATCTCTACCCCTCCTACCCACCTGGATGAATGTGGCTTCTTTAAATCCTTCATTGTTGGACTTCCCATACAGCTCAATTTTCCGACAGTTCTAGATGTTGTTCTGAGGTCTAGTTGTAATTCTTTCTGTGGTTGAGTCAAGAGGTGAAGCATGTTTACCTATGCCTCCAACGGGACCAGAAGTCCCCTTCTTCTTTAAATTACCTATTTATATTCTACTTTTTTGTGTGTTGGTTGTTAGTTTGTTGGTTTTTAAAAATTGCTTTTAGGAACTCTTTATAATGTAAATTGGTCCTTTTTGATATGATCTGCTGCTTCATGTGTTTCTAATCAATTTGTATGAGTTTAACATACATAAGCTCATGGCAAGGCCCCCTCCTTTTTCTTGGCCTAGGGAGTATTGTGCTGGTTGGTATTCTCTTTACCTAGTCATCTTCAAGGGTGGGTGCTTTAGCTCCAGCTTGCTCTATTTTATCTCCTAATTTACCTGAAGGCAAACATTACTGACCACTTCAAAAGCAAGTATTTTTTCTTCCCCAAAAGTCAGTCTCATGTGAGGAAAGCACAATATTGTGCAGCATCTTATATACTTGAGAAACACACATTCCCTCATTAACATGTTTTCGACTCTAGCCTTGTGAACTAATGGCACTAGTCCTATAGCTAAAAGTGATTCTTCTCCCTCTTTGGCTGGTTTTCATTACAAAGGGCCCAGTTTTTTTTTTTGTTTTTGTTTTGTTTTTTGCCTGAGTCGTTCTGAGTGAATGAGACATGGGAATGAGGAGGTATAGATGGATGGGGAATAGAAAGGGCAGGTGAGATAATACTAAAGATCTTCATTTTGAGAGCTAAGATACTGGTGGACCTCCTCAGCAGAGGTAGTAATTTTCCATCCTGATGGGTGGAGGTGGTCTTCAGAACAATACAATGTATATAATATCTCATGAGCTCATAGGACAAATATTGATCGGCTTGGAGTCATCTAAGAATGACAGAGTTGCAACTGTTTGAAATATTAACTTTGAAGATTATATGGGGAAAAGTTTGGGACTAATAACTAAAGAAAGGTAATAGTGCCATCCCCACTGGGGTGAGGGAATCCTTCATTTAAATCTATTATCTTAGTTATCTATTGCTGTATAACTAATTACACCAAAATTTAGCACCTTAAAAATAAACAGTTTTGATCACACAGTTTTCCTGCACCAGGAACTTGGTAGCAGCTTATCTGAGTCCTGCTTCAGGGTCTCCCATGAAGTTATCATTAATATGCTGGGACCAAGGTCCTCTGAAGTGTTGGTTGTGGCTAGAGGATCTGATTCTCAGGTAGCTCACTCACAGGGCTGTTGGCAGGAGGTCTCAGTTCCTTGTCAAGTGAATCTCTCCACAGAGCTAATTGCATGTCCTCACACTGGGGCAGGCAGCTTTCCTTGCTGTGATGTAAGACAGAAAACAAGGAGGAAGCCAAACTGTTTCCTGGGACCTAGTCTTGAAAGTCACATACTGTCAATTCTACCATTTTCTATTAATTAGAAGCAAGTCACTAGGGTCAGCTCACACTCAAAGAAAGTAGAGCTTCTTTGAAGGGATGAACATCAAAGGATTTGTGGATTTATTTTAAAACCATCGCACTCAGCATTCTTCAAAAAAAGCTTATGATAGCCTACTTTGAACTGTATTCCATTGCTTGAACTACATGTCTCCATTCATGCGAGAAATATTTGTTGTCTTATATGAATCACTGCATACCATTTTTACCATCTGTTACTAGAACCATTTTATTCTAAAGAATGATATCCTCCTAACAGTGGTCTCTTTTCCTTTCTCAGGTGCTTGTTGGGTTTCTTTTTATTCTAGCAGCCACAGAGCTGGTCCTTGTATTCATAGAAGATTCTGGACAAGCCACCGTCCCTGCCATCAGATATACCAATCCAAGCCTCTACCTGGGCACATGGGTAAGGGCCATCACCACTTCTGCCCTGTTTATTTAATCTCTGTTCATAGTCATATAGTTGAAACGTACTCTTTGTACTGAAACAGGGTCCAATTTCATCTACCTTTTTCAAGGGACCTGTGATGAGGGAAAGCTTAATTATAATGGGGTGAAACAGATTTTAGCTCTTCTTCTTTTGAACACTAGTTTGTAGACCCTGCTCCTTAGGATGAATACTAGCTTTAATGACTAAGATAGGTATCATGTGCTCTCATATCTTTCCATCTAAGGATCATATGTGAAATTCCGGCTTATTGACAAGAAGAATTCTCTTAAATGCCATAAATATTACTTTTAAATTGATTTGTAGAGTGTAATCAATGGATCACCATGTCTAGAGTTATTTTATAAACTTGGTGACAGAAATTAATGTTTCTTCTGCAAGCATGTTTGAGGGGGGCTGCCTATCTGGTGTTTTAAAAGCAATTGAACTAGATGTCTTATTTTAAAAGAGGAAGAGACCTCAAACTTATTTGGATTTTCAGTCTTTCTTGAAAAATCAGAATGTCTGGCAACTCTGGGCCTACATTTCCATAGGGCAATGGTCAACTAGGACCGAGTAATAGTTACCCCCACTAGGCCAGGCACATGCTCAGTACAGTCTCCCAAAGTCCATTCAGAAACATGCTGTGCCTGGCCCCTGCAGGCATATTGTTTGATAATGCTGTTTAAAATAACCAAGAAGTGTCTAGGCAGTGGTATGCTGCATCTAGAAACATTGTGCTGGAACTTGAAACCCACTACAGTGGGAGTATTTACACCATGGAAGTTGGCAATTGCTACAAATCATGGCTTTCCATCCCTATTCTCAGAATATTGATTTACTGAGTTTAGGAAACCAACATTTAATTAATTATATCTAAGTGAGATGTTACAAGGGAAGTTTTATTAACTGCTTAGTCTATGATATTATTAGAAAATCATGATACAGACACCTTGCACCAATCCAACAGAATCTGCCTGCACCACCTGACTACTGCAGTGCCTGCAGTTAATTTCCTCATCTCTTGAAAAGATTTTTCTGACTCCCAAAGTAGAGCCATTCGAATGCAGATGATGATCCTCTGCCTTCTTTGCTAACTCCCCGCCCAAGTGTGGCAACTAGAGACAGGGTGGGAAGGAGGGACCCAGGGAGAGCATGGAGGACCTGAAAAGAGGAAGTTGGGTGGTATCAGGGAGGAAATCTACAATTTGGCGTGTGTGTGCTTTCTGCCTGGTGAGATTAAAGGCAACAATCTCCTCCTATAGCCCTCCTTTCTTCCTCTCTTTTCTGACATCCTCTTTGCCTCTTATTTTTGGCTAGTGCCAGTATTTTTCAGAACCTGATGTCAATTTCTCTCTAGCTCCTGGTTCTGCTGATCCAATATAGCAGGCAATGGTGTGTGCAGAAGAACTCTTGGTTCCTGTCCCTATTTTGGGTTCTCTCAATACTCTGTGGCACTTTCCAGTTTCAGACTCTGATCCGGATGCTCTTAAAGGTAAGGAGGAATGAGAGGGTGTGATGAGGGGAGCCTGCTAGGCAGCTTCTCGGGTGGAGTCAGCGGCATGAAATAAGTTGAGCTCCAGGACAAAATCGTATGTAGGGGATTTGATATATGCTTTCATCACAAATATTGACATATGTGGGCTGCTTAGACTTAATTTGGATAAAAGGCTCATTTTCTCTTCTGTTTTTTTTTTGTTTTGCCATAGGGCAATACTTCCAGTCTAGCCTACTCCTGCCTGTTCCTCATCAGCTATGCATTCCAGATCCTCATCCTGATCCTTTCAGCATTTTCAGAAAGAGGTGACTCATCAGAGGTGAGACTCAAAATAGACCCACCTCATAGGTTATTTCATTGGCTGGCACCCTGACAAATGTAAGGTGTCAAAATCTAGGTGTCTAGGTGTCATACAGGTCCCCTGAGACGTCTAGGTCTCATGGAGGTCCTCAAGACTGGAATACAATAATATATACCAGTTTATGACATAAGGAAACAGAAGGTGAAGAGAGTATGGAAATATTGACTTTGATATTGACCCACCAATCTTTAACATAGACAATTAATTCATATATCTATGCCAGAAGGTCTAATTATCATTCAACTGGTGACCTTAGCGTCTCCAGATAAATACATATGGACCAGCCTGCTTTAGTGGCACATTGCATCAGTTTCCGATTTTAGAGTCCTGTGAAGTTCCTGTTTCCCACTGATTTATTTTCTGATTTGTGTGTGTGTGTTTTGCAGAATCCATCAGTCACAGCTTCATTTCTGAGTAGAATCACCTTCAGTTGGTATGACAGGTAAGAAAGCCTGGAAATCAGGTTGCCTCTATTCTCACCCCACCCCCAGTCTTCTGAAAGTAATGGAAATCTTAATTTTTCAACATGTCTCCTGCAGCCTCTATTTCTCCTCTACTTAAAGCCAGAGAAGTTAGTTCAGTCTCTTTATTGGTTAGACTGGGGCACTGAGGAGATGGAGGGAGATTTGCTCTTGGTAGCCTGGGGGTTCCCTGGAGAAAAGGAAGGGCTGTAAGGAAAGGAGGTGGTAGAACAGGACCAGGGAGCCATAGGGACTGGCGGAGCGACACGAATTTGGAGGGTAAGGGATGAATTAGTTGGATGTGGAACAGGCAGTCTTCTCCTTTGTGCTTCCACAAAACCCGTTGTCTGGTAACTCCCACAAATCCCTTCTTAGGCACTGTTTTCAATGCATAAAAGACATAGAATTATAAAGGAAAACAAATATATTAAAGTATAGTTACCTAAATATTTTTACTTTTATTTATTTATTTTTAAAAGCCAACACAAGGCTCTTTTAAAAAAAAAGATTTTATTTATTTATTTTTAGAGAGAGGGGTAGGGAGGGAGAAAGACAGAGAGAAACATCAGTGTGTGGTTGCCTCTCGCATGCCCCCTACTGGGGACCTGGTCTGCAAACCAGGCATGTGCCCTGACTGGGCATCAAACCAGCAACCCTTGGGTCACAGGCCAGGACTCAACCCACTGAGCCACACCAGCCAGGGATACATATTTAAAAGAAAAACAACAAATGCGTAGTAATATGAGTGCTTCTTTATGAATGCATTAAACAAAAAGATCTAGTAATGGTAGTAATACGAGTGCTTCTTTATGAATGCATTAAACAAAAAGATCTAGTAATGTGTCTAATAATGACCATAATTTCAAAGTAGTGATGAGTGTAAATGGGCCTTGGGAACATCTGTGATTTCTCCTAGAGACAAAGGCACAAGCAGTCCCTTAGAAAACTCTGGTTGCCTTTGCCTCTATTAGAAGGAAAAGCTAAGTATCAGTTAGAAGCTGTTAAAAATAAAGACTTGATTTTTTTTCCATCCATTTTTTCAAATCCTAGGTTGAGAAGCTCTAATCTAGAAAGGCAGTATGGAGGTGGTCTCCAGGTCTGCTCAGTTCCTTAAGGGCGTTGTGAAGTCCCCCAGGGAGTAGCCAGAACAGCAGAGGCAGCTGGTGTTTGAAGAGGAAGGAGCATGGGGAGGGGGAGGTGATGCGTTTTGAGCTCTTAATTCGGTAGTGCCCCTCCCCTTCTTTTTTTCTTGTCTTCCACCCCCTTCTGTTCCCCCCACGGGATCCCTTCCTGCTTCCCCCACTCTTCTGTCAAGATCAAAGGGGAGGAGGTAAGGCAGTGAGGAAGGGGGAGGTCTCGGTCTCCTGTCCCTCCAACCCAGAAGTGAGTGGGGGGTTTTGACAGAGGCACCCAGGAGACAGCCTCTGACCCAGCCTGCAGGGCCTTAACCTCTGGGTCCCTCTTATTCTAGTGTTGTTCTGAAAGGCTTCAAGCGACCTCTGACACTTGAAGATATCTGGGATGTTGATGAACAGAGTAAAAGCAAGGCACTAGTCAACAAATTTGAAACGCACATGGCAAGAGAGCTGCTGAAGGCCAGGCGGGCACTGCAGAAACGGCAGCGGAAGAACATCCGGAGGGACTCTGGAAGCAGGCTGCATGGCCTAAGCAAGAACCAGAGTCAAAGCCAAGATGTCCTTGTCCTGGTAACTGTCCCATGAGGGTGTGTGTGAGTGTACTGTATGACTCGGGCAAGAGGAAGGACATCAGGGTCATGGTGACCCTGCCCTCACATTCTTATGTCACTTTATACTTTGCAGTGTAGTTTATATTATTATTAGTATTCACCATACTAATAACACCTTAGTGAGGACTACATGGGGGTAGAATGTGGAATTTGCTCTCCTTTTGGGGTATATTTGAAATTTTCTATGACAAAATGGCTTTAAAATAAAAAGATAAAATAAAATAATGCCTTAGCATTACTAGAACTTGTGCCTTGGTGGATTTAGCATTAGCAGTTAAGTCATTTACATTTTCACTCGAAAACATCTATTGAGTGCCACTGCATGTCACCAAAGCCTGCACAAAGGAGGCAGCAGGGCTCAAGGGCTTCACAGGACGGGACAAGGTCCTACCCCCCCACCGCTCTGTGGACACTGCTGTTGTTGGCTTTGTACTTAGGAAGAAGCTAAAAAGAAGAAAAAGAAGTCTGGGACCACAGAGGACTTCCCTAAGTCCTCTGAGGACTTCCCTAAGTCCTGGCTGATCAAGGCCCTCTTCAAAACTTTCCGCGCCATCATCCTGAAGTCGTTCCTGCTGAAGGTGGTGTATGACCTGCTCACATTTCTGAATCCTCAGCTGCTGAAGTGAGTCCCTGTGCCTGGGCCATCTCGGGGCCTCCCCAACCACCCTCCACTCTGCCCCATGTCTGTGGGAAGGAGCTTATCATTAAATTTTCATTTTTTTAAATGCTCACAGTTTTCGTCCACCTTACAGTGAGTGTGCATGAAGAGTGCAAGGCAGCTTTCAAACTCTAAGATGATGTGTTCTTCAGCGGTCCTCTTTTCCACACTTCTCCCCAGCCCCCGCTGCATAGAATGCCAGATACACATTAGGAACTCTTTCTTGTTAAACAAAACCACTGTGGGCTGAGCCATGTCCAAGAGGTGGGCAGCAAACCCCAGGAGAGCCTGCTGGCTTGTGTCTGTACCCTCCTTGCTCCACAGCCACTACCTTCGACAGCAGGTTCAGGTTAGCCATGACAAGACGTCCGCTTGGACTTCAGCATGAACCATCCTCGAGGGGGAGCCCTTCTAAGTCATTCTGGACACCTGTCCTAATTCCTTTCTAGGCCTGCATTGTCTAGGAGTTAATCAGCTTGTCCCACAGAGCCTCTTTAGCCGGGACACAGCACTGCAGAGGCAGCTCTGCAGCTCATTCACGATCCCATCTCTCGAACACAGGTCATCAGCCTTAAGTGCTTCCTGCTCCTGTTCTCACCAGAGCAAGATGACTGTGGCACTCATTGTTCCCAGAGCACTGACAATTCCGGTCACTTTGTTACCTACAGGGCAGGGTAGGGTAGGCGGCTGAGCACGAGGTGTGTGGAGCCCTTGGAGGCCTGGTGGCCGTCACTTACTCGGTTTTGCTCTGGCAGATTGCTGATCTCCTTCGAAAATGATCAGGACAGTTATGTGTGGATCGGATACCTGTATTCAGTCCTCTTCTTCGTTGTGGCCCTCATCCAGTCTTTGTGCCTTCAGTATTACTACGAACTTTGCTTCAAGCTGGGAGTAAAAGTGCGGACCACCATCATAGCTTCTGTGTATAAAAAGGTAAGTGAACTGTGTCAGGCTTCGCCGGAGGGAACCTCCTTCGCAAGCATGAGCACTGAGTCCGAGGCTGAGGGAAGTCTAATGAAAATGATAACTGACCTTAACACTTGATTTTGACTAACCATATAAGCTTCTTTAGATGTTTCTTTGGAAAGCAAAATATGAAAGATGTGAATATAGACGTAGTAGGTGTGTGTGTTGGGGGCAGAGGGATACGTTCCAGGGAAAAACTAGCCAGCTGTTCTCTGCCAAGTATCTGCCTTTGAGCCTTAAAGGCTTTCTTATCTGTCCTTCTTTCTACCTCTTGACAAAATGGAAAGTCAGAAAAGCAGCTGGCCGAGCACAAACTCTTAAAACCACCAACACTTAAGTCCAATGCCACGTGAAGCAGCATTCATGAGGCCTGGTGTGTCCATATGAAATTACCATTTTGCCAGAGACAAAAATGTACTGTGGATCTGGGCTCCACCCCGCCAGACTGCTTCTTCTTAGTGACTTCTTTTTTCAGTAAATCTTTACTGGCTGACCAACCTCTCTACTGCCTGATTCCTCTTTTTTTTTTTTTTTAAATTTGTAAATACATTCAGTCTGCCTTCTGGGCTTTTTGCAAACTTGGGAGCTTTTTCATCTCCTTAAGATGGTTTGGCCATCTTCCCTCTGATATGTTGCTTTTAAATTTTAACTTTCTCAAGGCAACTGTGTTTTTCTTATATCCTAGACAGCAAGGTGAAGTCTCATTTTGTCCTTTAAGAAATGAAAATGGAGTTGTTGTATCTCAATAAAGAAAAAAATAAAGTTAAAAAAAGAAATGAAAATAGAATAGTTACGATCGGGGACTGGAAACTTGTGGGGAAATTTTATACATGAGGAGATAAGACTTTTGAGAAGTCAGAATACAGAAGGGGTGCCCTTTCTTCCCGGTTTTTCTCCGCCACTAGAGCGCTCCATCGCGTGGTTTCTCCCTGACGGTTCCTGGGTTTCTCTTTTGCTCTCTTCTCCTACAACATTCATGGGCCTTGGTCTTCCCTGAGTAGATGTGGACTCTTCAAGAGGCCCAGACAGGTGACCCAGATGTCTTTAGGTCAGAAGTCTGAAACCTCCCACAAACCCTCCCAAATTAACATTTTAATCCCCTTATTCCTTCTGAAGATACTGAATTTCTGCTGGTTTGCAAGATATGAGATTACCAACCAGGCTGCCTCTGCCCTTTCTATGCATGTACACTTTTTACTATTGTAGTGATTAATTCCCTCCATTTTTAACACATTCGTAATAATTTTATTAGTTAGAACTTCTCGCATTGATGCACAAGGGTAAACTTTCTTTAATTTGTGAATCGTAGGAAGATTTTTTTTATTGTTGTTCTACTGTAGTTGTCCCAATTTTCTCCCATTGCTCTCCCCTACCCCACCCATCCTCATTCCCTCTATTTTGATTATTAATATATCCCAGGTTTTACAACTGTTCTAGTTCATGAGGAATTTATAAAATAGAGCTTTTAATAAGAGAAGTAAGTGTTGCTACTAAAATAGAATTTTCGGTTGACTAACTTCTTACACTTAGATGACGCTTCTTTATGAAATGTTTTGAAGCGTTCTTCACATCCATTATCACATCCATTATCAGTCTATGGCCCTATGAAATAATTGCGTTATCCCTATTTTGCTGAGAAATAAGGCTCTGGGCAATTCAGTGCCTATAGTCACATGGCCAAGACCGGTCCCCGCGCAAAGGCTATTGGGACTAAATCAATGACTTTTCCACTTCACTGAAATTTATTGAGAAAAGGGAAGTGTAGTGATAACCATGAAGCGACCTTAGATGTTACTTTTTTTCCTTCTCCCTACCAAAAGGGAGGCAGGAGAAGTGGACTGATTTCTCTAGAACCTTGGCAGCCTAACATTTTAGGAAATTTCCTTCTTTCTGCTGTACAACAAAGATCCTGGTATGTTCCAAAGAAGAATGTATTGGTGGATTAAGATGACAATAGAACTTCTAGGAGAAGCATTCAAGTGAATATCTAGGACCCCCTGTAGCCCATACACTTCTTTGTGGAAATTAGAAGAAGGCTCTCCTTCCTCCAGGAGGATGGTGACTTGGTGAGCACCGTGCAAGCCGGTTTCAGTAACCCTGCCCCTAACCCTAGTTCCTTAGCTGGTTCATTGGTGCCGGGCATTTTTTAAGCGATAGACCTGTCGGGTATCAGCCTTCTGATCTCTTTAACATGAGAACTGAAGGGCCACACTACAAGATTTAGAGATCTACACATTACCTGCAAATTTCTGGCACTAAGGCATTTTGTTTTACGTCTCTGAACACTGCAGCTTTTCTTTCCATTTTAAGGTCTCTGTCCTTCTTGGGAATGGTTGCAACCTCCTCATGAGAGTGTGGCTTCAAATAACACTGCCACGTCAGAAGTCTGCAAGGCCAGAATCAATGCATGCTCCCCCACTTCATCCCTCCTGTTTATTTCCTCTGTCAGTGTTTGACTCCATAGTGTGTGCCATGTGATAGAGTAGTGAAATGCTCAGATGGAGCCCTGGTCCTCACAGAGTTTACATCTGGTGGAGAAGTAAAAAAAGGACAGAATTTCAGCTCAGTGTGATGAATGTAATGACAGAGGTAAGCACAGGATGCTATGGGAGTACCCAGGACAGGTACCCTGCCCACGCTTGAAAATCAGGGATGTCTTCTCAAAATACATTCTATATAAGCTGACACTAAAGAATAAGAAAGAATTTTCTAAGCAAAGATGTGTGTAGAGGGGAAGGAGGAGTGGGGTTGTAGAAGGTAAGAATAGCAGGAAAGAACAGTCAAGAACAAGAGAACACTGGGTAAAATTTGGAGGCAAGAAAGCACAACCCCTTGAAAAAGTTGTGTCCAATGGAGCCCATGCTTCTGCTGTGTTCTCACTCCCCAAGTTTCCCCTTTTACTTCCCCGGCTTGTTGGCCTGGTCCCTGGGTCCCAATCCCAATATTTGTCTTTAGGCACTGAGACTTTCCAACCGAACGAAGAAACAGTACACTATTGGAGAAACAGTGAACCTGATGGCTGTGGATGCCCAGAAGCTCATGGATGTGACCAGCTTCGTTCACCTGCTGTGGTCAAATGTTCTACAGATTGTATTATCCATCTACTTCCTATGGATTGAGTTGGGACCCTCAGTCTTAGCAGGTGTTGCGTTGATGTTGCTTCTAATCCCAGTAAATGGGCTCATCGCTGTCAAGAATAAGGCTATTCAGGTAAACAGAGGCACCCTAGGATGTACACACCTTCTTCAAAGTCTAGAGATTTTCACTTGTTTTATTCTAACTCTTGGTGGGAGTATGGGCAAAGCAAGACTGGTGGAAGACTTTCCACCATGTCAAATGACTTGGCTTTCTCTGTCTTTCCTTTTCATGTTCTGACAATTTTCAGGGTTTAAATACTCTATCTTCATTCATGTTAGAGGGAAGAGCTTGATTGGAGAGAAAAGAGCTCCCAGGGTCCATGAACATAACTCTTCCACCCTGCTCCACCGGGCCCTTCTTAGAATAGTGATTACTGGCCCTGTTTCTTCATCATAGCAATACAAACCAACCACACAGAAGGGCCACATGAGTGACTCAAACTTTAAGCCTAAACCCTAGCGATCAACCTTGCTACCACTAGATAGCAGGGTTCCATGTGGATGGTCCTTAGCTCTACCAGAAATCATAGGCTGGATGGATGAACTCAATGATGTACATGATTCATTCATTCATTCTGCATTCATTTAGTTACAAATTACTTTGAAAATATGTATTGTGCATCCTACTTTTCTGGAAAAACCAGCACATTGGACAAGACTCTTGTTCTAAGGGAGCTTACATTCTACTTGGGCCACAAGCAAACAAAAACGAAGAAGAAAATATCAAGGCTCAGTAAGTTCTATGCAGAGAATTAAACAGAGTGATGAGATAGCAAGTGAATGGTGGTCGCAGGGCCAGGAAGGGCCTCTGTGAGGAGGGCCTACTTGAGCTGAGCTCTGAACAACACAAGCCTGGCCACCAAGGAGCAAGCCTGGAGAAAAGCAACCTGGGAAGAGGGCATAGTCAGGCCACTGCTGTGGGGGCAGAAAAACTTGGCACACTCAGGGATCGGAAAGAAGGTGGGTGTGGCATGGGCAGAGTGGGCAAAGAGGAGAGTGGGAGAGACATATCCCACCACTGGGCACCTCAAGGTCTTGCCAAGCGACAGCCACAGTGCCACTGAAACCTACGGTCTGCAGCAAATCTGGACCCTCTCACATGGAAGTATGTTTTGTTTTTGTTTCACTTTTTTCCTGCAGGTAAAAAATATGAAGCAGAAAGACCAGCGTTTGAAGATAATGAATGAGATTCTCAATGGAATCAAGGTGAGGAGCCGACTGTAGGTGGCCCTCCTCTGCACACGAAGATAGCAGCTGGCAGGGGTGGGTCTCGGCCTTAGTGAGCCCTGGTAGAGATTGTGGACTCCTGCTTCTGGGCCTGTGGGGTGTCACGTGACTCCTGATTCATCTACCCACAAGTCTCTTGTTTCTCTTCCTCCTACCCCTCTCAGGCCCTCTTTTCAACCCTGATTTCCATTTATTTACCCTAAAAGGTTTGTTTTGTTTTGTTTACATTACCTTATACATTTCTGCATGCACACAGAAGTAGACAGAGTGATGTAATCAACCCCCATGGACATCACCCAGCTCCCGCAGTAGTCAGCTTGACCTGACCGGTTTCACCTACCCTCTCTGCTCCCACTTCATTCCCTGCTGAGTTACTTTAAAGCAAACCTCAGAATGTCGTGTCACTTCATTAGTAAATACTTTGCATATATTTCTAAAGGGAAGACTTGGTTTTTAAATATAACCACAATATTATCACACTTAAACACCTAAACATTATCACACCTAAAAAACATGTCATTTCTTGGTGCCATTAAACTTCCCCAATTGCCTTATACATCTCTTAAAAAATAAAAACAACAACTGTTGTTTAGTTTGAATGAGAATCCAAAGAATATCCCCACACAGCATTTAGTTGATAGTGCTTTTAACCTACAGTTGTACCCCCCATATTTTGGGGCCATATTGGAGAAACCAAGTTGCCTCATTTCTGGTATTTCTTGTAAATTGGTAGTTAGATCTAAAACTTGATTAGATTCAGGTGTGATTTGTGGGCAGGGGGTTGGGAAGGATGCTTTTGGGTTGTGCTGTGCACTTCCAACATCAGAGGTGACGTGCATGCCGGGGTCCAGGCGCTGCCCGCCCAGGTCCCTCCCTCATTACATGTCCTGCCATCCGTGCACCTAGAGTGCTGATCTGGGGCTCTGGCAGCATGTCTGGGCCCCTTGGTAAGTGTGTAAAGCCCACTGAAGCTTGGGCCCGACTTCAAACCATTTAAACTGGACTCTCCAGGGGTAAGCCACAGGCATATATCATATTTTACAATCTCCCCAAGTAATTCTAGTATGCAGCTAAGGTTGAAAAGCCACTGTCATTGCCTTGATCTATTATTTCATTAGGAGTTACAAAGGGTAATATTTTAATTCTATTATTCCTTTAACATTGATTAGGTGGAATTCTATAAAGAAGAATTATCTTATTCAACTAGTCAATTACCTTAAAATAAGATTTGTACAGGATAGGAAGGATAACGCTTTCTTCTCTGCTCACCAGCTTTCAAAATAATGCATTCCATCCTCCAAAGGGGACCAATGAGATCTTTGGTAACGCATATGTTTGTTTGAATTCAAGGATTTCACATCACCACAAAGTTCCTGGGAGTAGAACAGAGGCCCCTTTAATGCCCTCATATCTCTCCATGCGGAGCTCCGCTGTGCCTTCCTGCGCATGTGGCACAGTGAACAGACCTGGCTTTGAGTCTCAGCTCTGTCACTAGTTAGCTTGTGACTTGGGACAAGTTACTTAGCCTCTCTCAGCCTATTTCCTTATTATTAAAATGAATACAATAATTCTACAAAAGGAGACTAACTTGCCCTACTGCCCAGAATTTCACAGGTTTCTCATGGAAAGCCCTGTGTCCTGGGCAGCCCTTAGTCTCTGGCAGGCTGGAAGAGTTGGTCAACCTTAGATTGTTATAAGGATTAAGTAAAATAATGTGTATAAAATGTTCGTACATTAACAGGAAGCTAAACAACAAAACAAACAAGCAAGCAGAATAAAAACAAAGACACTGAAATAGAGAACAAGGGGACAGTGACCAGAGGGGAGAGGGAAGGGAATTTAAGGGGAAAAAAGGGGAGGGATTTGGAGGAACAAATAGGAAGGACACAGGGACAAGAACTAAGGGGGGGTGGAAATGGGAGGGAGGTGGGAGCACAGGGTGGGGGGGGGCTGGGATGGGAGAAATAGACAAAAAACTGTATTTGAAAAATAACTAAATAAAATTATTTTAAAAAATGTTTGTATAGCTCTGGCTGTTGTGGTAGTGGATTGAGCACCAGCCTGCAAGCCAAAGGGTCGCTAGTTTGATTCCCAATGAGGACAGGTGCCTGGGTTGCAGGCCAGGTCCCCAGTGGGGGTGCATGAGGGGCAACCACACATTGATATTTCTCTCCCTTTTTCCCTCCCCTCCCCTCTGTCTAAAATAAATGAATAAAACCTTTAAAAATGTTTGTATATAGTAACTTGTCAACAAATACAAGCCACCTTTCTGTAGTCATACTTGATAATCTGTATTTCTCCTCACCTCCCCAAATTTTGGGGACCATATCCTAAAACCTGGGCAGACGAGACATACCTGGTGTCCTCAGAACAGCAGTGTGAGCTGTGCTCTTTTCTATTCTATTAGATCCTGAAATATTTTGCCTGGGAACCTTCATTCAGAAACCAAGTCTACAACATTCGGAAGAAAGAGCTCAAGAACCTGCTCCGCTTTGGGCAGATGCAGTCGATAATGATGTTTATCTTGTACTCGACTCCGGTCCTGGTGAGTGACATGTCTGTGGGCTGGGTCAGCTTTCTGAAGAAGGTCTGTCCTGGACAGACTGCCCAGAACCTGTAGGCCTGGCCCAGAAATCCGGGGAGCTCTGCCCTCCTCAACTCTCCACGCCGCCCTCGCTGCCTCGTGCCTCCAAGTCTAGTGTCACCCGTGTGTACAATTCGGCGGGCAGGGAGCCCAGAGCAAGTTACCAGGGTGTTCAGCATGCATGTGGTATCCAGGAATGGTTTGCAAAGGGGGGCCTCTTGTCTTCTTGGGGAGGCATGGGGGTCGATAGAGAAAGAAACACTGATACGAAAGCCAGGAGACCTGAGCTCTGGTCCCAACAATGCCATCCAGTGATTTTGTGACTCAGGCCAGATATTCCCTCCACTTCTGGGCTCAGCGTTCTCATCTGTAATGTGGGAAGGTTGAGATATTCCTAATGATTCCTTCAACTATTGTGTTCCTGAGACTTAGCACAAAGCTGCTTGAGCCCTTTTAGGAATAAATGGTTCATGGCCTTGCTTTTCCAGGTGTCTGTGGCCACATTTTCAGTGTACGTCCTGGTGGATAGCAATAATATTTTGGATGCTCAAAAGGCCTTCACCTCCATCACCCTCTTCAATATCCTGCGCTTTCCCATGAACATGCTTCCCACGGTCGTCTCTTCCGTGCTCCAGGTAGGTGGGGACTTCCCCTGCTCGCTGATCACCTCTGACTGAAGGCCACACTTAGACTCTAGAATGACTGGCCTATCACATCTCATGTCTAGCTTCTGCTGGCGAACTTTCAGATCTCAACTAAAGAGATTTGTGTGGTCTCTGAAGAATGGCTTGATCTTAGTAAAATCACAAGCTCTCTGAGCTCATTCATCTAACTGTGAATTAAGGATTCTCATCTACCTCACAGGGAAAAAATGTTTGTGGAAGCATTTGTGATTAGCCCTGGTACCTGGAACATTTCTAAGCCCTTTCCCCAACTTCGTTTTCCCCACATTTCCCCAAGGCTCTTGAGGTATTGATCCAGCACTAGGGAACTGTGGAATGCAGGGAGAAAAAGGAGCCTCTCTCTACACAAAGCCATGAGGTGGTAAAACCAAAGGCAATTCAGGAGACCTGAGCTGTCAGAAAGAGAGTCTGGGGCTTAGGAGGCCTTGGATGGGCCCAAGGGGGCATCTGGGTCCTGCAAACTGAGCCTAGTCAGGGAGAGGGACCAGACCTCGGGGAAGACCACAGGGCAGGTGGCAGACTGGTGAGGCAGCCAGGGTGACCTGCAGCCATCTCGGAGGTGGCTGGCTGCAGACAGCTCAGGCCACTGGAAGGGCTGGGGTTTGGGAGAAGGCCTCCCTGTCCTGGGGGTGAGGGGAGGTGTTAAGAAAGCTGACAGGTGCAGCCGATAAAGGAACAACGTGCTCCTTTTAAGGGATTCAGTTTATTCCATAGACAGTAGGAGCAAGATCAGCAAAAGTGTCAGTGCCTAAGGCTCCCTGTTCTACAAGATGACACCGAAACAGAACAGACCAGAGGGTGACGCAATGGGGCAGTGGGGTGCTCTGTTTCCGAGGAGCTGGTGCCAGCAGCAGCTGAGCAGGTTTACAGTCTGTGTCTGTACCCTCAGGAGAGGGCAAGGCAGAGGGCCTCAGGCTTCATCAGGGCCCAGATGGTGACAAGAAACCAGCTCACGGCCACCTCCCTGGGGGACAGGAGAGAAACGTCCTGGAGAAGCCCGTGGAAATCTTCCCAAGTTCTCATGTTCCAGGGGCACCACAGGGTGTTCTGCAAACACGTGGATCAGCTGTGATTTAAGCTGGACCCGTGTGGCCTGTGTCCAAGTGTGCCACGGCCAATTCCTCTACAGAATCCAGGAGGGGCTCACTTAGGACGCTGAACGGGTCATCAGGCATGGACTCAGTTAAAAAAGAGCATGCCAGGGGAGTAGATGCCAGACCAGACAGAAGTTAGTGTTTTTTCCCAGAGAGAGGCAACAGTTTCTGGAACTAGGTACAAAGATTGGGGAGAGAGCAGGAGTTACCCTTTCTCTCCTCCTCCCGCCAGTTTTCTGAAGGGTTGAAACAGAGCATCGTCATTTGCCCCTGTGCACGGGGGTGGGCTGGCCCCCAGGGCTCAGGTGAGGCTGAGTCTGTAGTGGGGCTCAGGAGGTTCCAGCAGCAGGTGGCAAATTATAGGCGAGAAGTCTGGCAGATTGATGATCTCCTTCCACATCCAAGGCTGAAAACAGTCAAAATCCTCCCCCTGCTTGTGTTTGTCATTGGATTTTTATTCTTGAGATCCTCTGTGTTCTTCTCTAGGCCATTGTTTCCAAAGATCGGCTGGAGAGGTACTTGGGAGGGGATGACTTGGACACGTCCGCCATTCGACACGACTGCAATTTTGGTAAATGAATTTGGAAGTTGTTTCCCCAACTTACTCACAGCGCTGGCACCAGAACTTTGAACAACGGGGGCTCGGCAGCAGCAAACTGATTGAAAGGGAGAGTGAGGGGCCTTATCTTGAACCTGTATTTGCATAGAAGCATACTATTTTTACTTAAATTATGTTTTCACTGGGAACGGAGTGCTTGGCCACATTGCTAAGCAAAGCTAAGTGAGCTGTTCTGAGGCTAAGCAGGGAATCCTGCAAAGGATCTAGAGAGCGGAATCAGGATGGAGCTGAGCCTACAAAGCTGGGAAAGCAGGCGGAGTGGAGGAAAATGCAGCTTGTGGAGGCTCGTGGGTGGGGAGGGCTCCACAGCCAGGGTGAGCCATGGGCCTGGAATCCAGGGTAGGGAGTCACTGGGTATATACATGCAGGTGGAACTTGACCTGGAGACTAAGCAACAGGGCCTGGGAATGTACCCGGAGGGTCTATAGGACTGAAATCTAGGCTCATCACAGGCCTTGGACTCCTGAGCCAAAAAGCACTTTGTACACAGGCAACGTCTGGACTCCCCCAAGAGCTTTCACTAGTGCGGAGCTAGCACCTGACAGAGGTGATCTCTGGGTTTGCTGGAGGAAGCAGAGAGGGCCATGTGAGGGCTGAGAAAGGGCAGGCAGGCAGATGGGGACCTACGTCTGACTAAAAAGAGGGGTTTTCTTGCCAACAGACAAAGTCGTGCAGTTTTCTGAGGCCTCCTTCGCCTGGGACCAGGATTCGGAAGCCACAATTCGAGAGTGAGTTGCCTCCTTTCCATCCTGCTGCTCTTCAGGGTTCTCCTTGCCTGTCCTGTGACTGAAAAATTCCATGCAGTAGAACACATGGGGAGATGAGCTGTGTGCACACCTTCAGTTAGACACCAGTGCAGGCTCAGCCACTGCAGGGATGAGCTGACAGCAAAGATCTTGAGCCTCTTTGCTCCTAAATGCATCTACCGCCCTGCTTTCCTACTGTGGGACCACATGTATCCAGCTAAGAACCCACAGAGACATCTGTTCTTCAGATTGTGCCTGGTGGTACTGCCCAGTGGGCCGGTGGTCTGGGTGTTCAGGTATGGTAGAGGGTACACCTAAGACCCTCACCTCAGTTTAATTTCATTCATTCATTTAAGAATGTAATTAAGAACATTGGAGCTTCTTCCCTGAAGTGGGCAATGGGAATTGCCTCCGTAAGATTCAATTTCACGTCTGGAGTTTTATGTCTAAATAATCCATCCCTACCATCTACCCTGGAGGCTGCCCTAAGCCAACCTTTTCTTGCCATGGCGTTGCATGTAAATAACAGAAATCAAGCTTATCCACTGAGCACAGCACGTGCACACCACACCAGATCTTTCTTCTTCACAACCGAGCACACCTTATCACCTCCTTGCTACAGCCAGGCCTTTCCACACTTCTCTGCTATTTTTGCGGCCTTGAACATGGACTCTGGAGCTTGCCCCAGGATGTGTCAGGCCAGAACCTCCTCTAAATCTGCCCAACCTGAAAGCCTATCTCTGCAGAGAGAAGACTGGACATAGCTCCCCCTTTTCTAATATAAGTTCAGCTCAATGGGCAGGTTCAGAAAGACTATGAACAAGTTCCTGGGGTTCCTAATATCCCAGGTACTCCAACAATAGAGCTGACACACAGAGGTTCCAGGAGTCGAGCCTAGTGCAGACCCTCTCCAGCCAGACACAGCCAAATAAATCTCCAGGGGAGGAGTCAGGACTGGGTGCTTGCAGCCAGTGTTCCATTGAGTGGCTAGTCTCATTGAAGAGCCAAGTTTGGGAAACATTAATCTAGTCCAAGATCATTACTTTAGAAATGAGAGTCCAGAGGATGAGACATTTCAAGACCACACAGCTCAGCAGTGACAAAGTTGGGACTTGAATTCAGGTCTCCAAGCTCTTGTTCAATAGTCCCATGTTGGTTCTAAGAGAACTTGTCCAGTGGAAACCCAAGTTTAGCACAAACAGCTTATAGATGACTCGAACACATTAGGGTCACTTTGTATTCAAGTCCCAACTTTGTATTTGTATTAGGGTCACTAGGCTCTGAGAACTTAAAAGTAAATCATTAAAGAAGCACTTTGGAGTCTTTTATATCCAAGGCAAATTTTCCAGTCTTGAGAGATAATCTCCAAATACCAGACTTCCCAGAGAGTCTGAGAAGTGGTTAGAATGCCTCTTGGATAAGTCCCCTCCTCTCCTTCAAATATACTTCTCTCTTTCAGCGTGAACCTGGACATTATGCCGGGCCAACTAGTGGCTGTGGTGGGCATGGTGGGCTCTGGGAAATCCTCCTTGATGTCAGCCATGCTGGGAGAAATGGAAAATGTTCACGGGCACATCACCATCAAGGTGAGAGGGGATGCCAAGGAGAAGGCCCTGGCACTCACAAGAGGGCCACTTCTTGCTGCCTCTTCGTGTGGCAGAAGGCACTGAGGTCTAGACTCTGACCATCTCTGCTATCGTGTTGCTGTATGGGTAAAGGTCTTGCAGACATCTGATAGACTTGTGACCTACATATTCTTTGCCCCATCTCACATATAGAATCAGAGTCAAGGGGTAGATTCTAAGCATCTGCATGTTTAATGAGCTACCCAGGTCATCACCATATGCACCAAAGTTTGAAAACCGTTGAATAGAGAGAGGTCTTCCTTCAGAGCATAGACAAATCCTGCTGTATCGACATATGCGTTTCTGAAAACTTCATGTTCCACAAAATTATGCAATAAAAACAACCAGACCTGGGAAAAGAGTTGGAACAGATTATAAACTTGTATCACTTTGTGACCAGGGTACCAAAAAAACCCTAATAACCAATAACAATAAAATCAGGGGTATTGTAAGATCCCCGCTGGCAACTGTACCCAGCATCCCAATTAGTCCTGAGCCTCCCGCCCTCTCTTTTGGGGGCACTTGCTTCCAACACAAAACTTTGGTGTAAGGTGTAGACATCTTTATCAATTATGTTGTTAACAGAGAAAACATCTTTGCAGCATCTTCTCAGCACTCTCAGCTTCCCCAGAGAGCTACATTTGGGGAAACTATAGGTACTTTGCATCATTTAACCAGCCATGAATTACACCAAAAGAGGCATGCATATAGGTTTTTATCTGTTTTCCTCAAGATCTTTGTATATTGCTAACCTTTCTTTTAATTATGAGAAAGCTCGCCCCTGATTGCTTTTCATGGACATGCTTGGGTCATTGGTAAGAGCTTCTACTTCATACTGACATTATTCCCATGATTCCCTCAATCACAAATGAGGTAATTTGCATTAAATCCACATGTGGTATAGCAGAGCAGACTCTACAGACTTTTTTCAATTACAGTTTACATTCAGTATTACTCTGTGTTAGTTTCAGGTGTACAGCATAGTGGCTAGACAATCATGTACTTTATAAAGTGGCCCCCTGATATTTCAAGTACCTTCCTGGTACCATACAGTTATTACAATAGTACTGACTATATTCCCTATGCTGTACTTTACACCCCTGTGACTACCCTGTGACTACCAATGTGTGCTTCCTGATCCCTTCACCCTTTTCACCCAGGCCCCCTGGCAGCCCCTCCTCTCTGGCAACCACCATAGAAACAGTCTGGGCTCTGCATCTATGCAGAATCCACAGATTTAACTCTGTCTCTTAGCTCCTCCTAGGAAGCTTTTTCTTGTTGCCCCATAACTGAGTTTTTCCTCAGACACAGACATCTGTCAGCTCATTTTTGGGCATGATCTGCTTCATGCATCAGCCCCTATTTCCAGTCTCTCGGTTCTTGCTTCCTCGTGTCCTCTGCACCATTCCCCGGTCAGGGTTGGCCTTCTGTTGGTCCTAGTAAACTCACTGGGGTCCGACTAGAGCCCTATTCTAGCAGCAGCACGTGCAGTCATCCTCCAGTTTTCAGGATCAGGGCTAGAAGGTGAGTGTCAAACAAACGGGACTTTACATGAGGAGCAGGACTTTGAGCTCTTTCTCACTTGAGGCTGGTGTGATAAATACAAGCACATTTATAAATATCAGATGTTCAGTCAACCCGACATACATTTCTGCAAATCTAAGTTTCCCTTGATCCTCCCGGCTTCCGCCCTGTTCCTTCAACCCCGCGTTTCTGGAGGTACAGCTGTCGTGTGGTCTGATCCTCTCCCACACAGGGCTCCATAGCCTACGTCCCCCAGCAGTCCTGGATCCAGAACGGCACCATAAAGGACAACATCCTTTTTGGATCAGAGTTAGATGAAAAGAGATACCAGCAAGTCCTAGAGGCCTGCGCCCTCCTCCAAGACCTGGAAGTGCTGCCTGGAGGAGACCTGGCTGAGATTGGAGAGAAGGTACTTAGAACCCCGAAGGGTGAAAAATAGCAAAGAAAAAAGTGAGGATGGTGAAGAAATACATGGGAATAAAATAACTGACCAAGTTTGGTGGCCATGTTTGGATCAAATACCAGAAAACATGAGTTTGCACAATATCATATACGAATAACTCAGAAGTTTAAAATTTTGTACCTGGAAGCAAATACAGGGGTTATGTCACCTGAAGGGAAGATGATGAGGTGAGGACCCGGGAGGTTAAGTAACCGGGACTGGCCCACGGTTGACGGCGTGGTGGAGGGACAGCAGCAGCACCAGCCTAGCTGTTCTCTGCTCTGTATGTTAGAGTCAGAGAACGGTTCTCATAATCTGCTCTGAACAGTCAGATATCGAGTGGGACTTACTTCCTCATGTTATTAAATGCCCTCCTTAAAAATGGATTTTTAATGACTACCGTAGATCGTATCCATTATGTGAATTTGGCATAATTTGTTTAGAAACCCCCGTCTTCTGTCACATATTTAGGTTGTTTTCACCCTTCCTCTTGTTAAAAAAAAAAATCCAACCAAGTGAACTTGTAGATCTGATTGGCTTTATTAAGTGATTTGTGACTGGGGCAGCATCCCATCTGACTACTCCAAGGTGCTCCACAGGTTGTACAGAAATAGAAAAAAGGGGTGGGGAAAAGAAGCTATTAGGGGAAAAAAGAAATTATTTTGGGGGGCACTTGGACATCTGTTTTCTTGTTGTTGTTTCTGTTTTGAGAGAAAGAGACCAGGAAAGGGTTTTGTCATGCAGATTGCCTCTTCTTTCTGGGGCGAGGTTGGGGAAGGATGGAGAAGGCCCACCTGACAGACAGCCTCATGGGTCTTACCCAGAAAATTTCACACTGGTTGATTAAGACTGTGCTACTGGGTGAGTCTGAAACAGAAATTAGCTCGGGTATTAAGTCTGGGTTTGGTATCCTGGGCTTTGGCACAAGTGACCCCACTTTGGGCCTGTGGTTTTCTCTTTAATTGTCCCCATTACAAAAACTACCTACAGCAGTCTTTGGGGACAACGATCTTGAAGTGTTAAAAGACTTGTGAAGATACAGCTCTAGAGTGATTTTGCTTATCAATTCCACATACATTTATTGAGGAGCCATGTGTCAGGGAGGATTTTAAGTGCTGGAGTTACATCCATGAATGAAATAGAGAAAAATCTGCCTGGTACAAGTTACGTTCTCACAGGACAGGAAGCAGCAAAAATAAGTAAATGGCATGGTAGAAAACGGTGAGGTGGGCCTACCTTTAATTATAGGGCCTAAAGTGATTTAGTTGACTCTAAGTTATGTATTTGTATAAAGCAAGATTTCTAAGCCCTTGATACCTTATGAGGCAAATTTCTTTCGTACCCTTCCTCAGTCACCTCTGTGAAGGCAGGACTATGGCATAGGGCTTAGGAGAAATGATTTCCCTCCTCAGGGTATAAATCTCAGTGGGGGTCAGAAGCAGCGGATCAGCCTGGCAAGAGCCACCTACCAAAACTCAGACATCTACATTCTGGACGACCCCCTGTCGGCTGTGGACGCTCACGTGGGAAAACACATTTTCGATAAGGTCTTGGGTCCCAATGGTCTATTGAAAGGCAAGGTAAGAAATCATTTAAAGTGACAAAGGCATGAGGTATGTGTGTGGCGGAGGGGCAGAGGGGGGGTTACACACATCTGCTGGGGACAGCTGCTGTCCTGAAGCAGAGTTCCGTATTTACCTGCCTCCCTGGGCTGCTGTAGAGATAGTGTCAGACTGGTCTCCCAGGGGCTGACCCCGTGAGGGCTTCCATCTTGAGATCATGGCTAAGTTTAGCCTTACTCTGTGGCTTGGACATTGAGCCTGTTAGGATGATTGATTATAATAAATACTTTGAGACCTGTGATGTAATAAGATATATATGTGGTCTTCGTCTCCAATTCCTGACACAGAACTGCTAACCCTTGGAATTTCCTGAGTCATATGAGGAGTGTCTTTTATTCATAATGAGCCCTTTACATAACACAGGAGTCTGTGTTATTAAGTGACTTAGGGTGGAGCCCTCAGATAGGACTAGGCTGTTCACCAGAAAAGCCACGTCATGGGTTGGGACCTTAGTTCCACCCAATGACCTCTGGGGATGGAGGGAGTGGGGACTGGAGACTGGGCTATAAAAATCCTTTAACAGGGACATTCAGAGACCTCTGGGTTGGTGAGCCCTTTAAGGTGCGGGGGCAGTGCACCTGGTGAGAACGTGGACGTTCCAACGCACACCCCTCATTCCTTGCCCTACGCATCTCTTCCATTTCACTGCTCTTGAGTAGTATCCTTTATAATAAATTGATAAACATAATAAAGTGGTTTTCTAACATCTCTGGGCCATTCTTGCATACTGTCACCTGAGGAGGGGCCTGGGGGACCCCTGATTTATAGCTAGTTGGCCAGAAGTATGGGGGGGTCAAGCCCTGAGACTAGCATCTGAAGCCAGGGCGTCCTGTGGGACCGAGCTCTGAAACTGTGGCATTTGTGCTCACTCCAGGTAGTTAGTGTCAGAAATGAACTGAACTGCATTGTCGAACACCCAGCAGAGTCAGAGAACTGGTGTCAGGAAACATCCCAGAGGACCCAACAGTTCCCCTTCCGGCAGGACACGGGTCACCCTGCAGGTGTTAGAGCTGTGCTCTAAAAAGACACCTTCCTGGAATCTTTGCAGGATGTAGGAACGCTATACCTGAAAAGGGTGACTCAGCCTGAACGTGGAAATAAAGCTGATATTTTTTGTAACTTTTTTTTTAACTTTTAAAAATATTACCTATTTATTTATTTATTTCTAGACGGGAAGGGAGGGGAAAAAGAGGGAAAAACAACAATGTGTGGTTTCCTCTCACGTGGCCCTTACTGGGGACCTGGCCCTTGCCCTGACTGGGGATTGAACTGGCAACCCTCTGGTACACACACCAGCACTCAATCCCAAGCCTCATCAGCCAGGGCTTTTTTTTTTTTTTTGTAACTGTTATATCCCAGGCCTGTGCTAATCACTTTGATTGCATTGTCTCACTTGATTCTCACAATGCCACTGTGAAATGGCACAGACTGAAAGGGCCAGAATAAGTCATTAGAGCTGGTGGTAGGTAGAGACTAGCCTTTTCTTACCATGGACAAGTTAGCACATTTGTCCTCACGGAGTGGACCAAATGGGGGAGGGACCAACAGAACCCCTCAAGGGTTTGAATATGCTCCTCACCAGCAGCAAGTACAGAGTGGGGGCTGTCACTAACAACATCTCCCTCGGCACCAAGCAGTAAGTTTCTATCTGTATTTGGCCTGTTCCCTTCAAGATTTCCTGAATGTTGCCAGTCAGGATGGCAGGGTTGACTGGGCTGCTGTTCTACTGAGATCTTTTGCTTTTCTGTTGGATCAGTGAGTCAACAGGAACTCACTCTCCCTCCTACTCCTGCTCCTGACTTGGGTCCTTAAGGTCTCTTGGCTCCATTTCCTAATGAACTGAATATCCACCCTGTTCCTGGTTTGTTTCAAAGACTGGTCATGCGTAGGTAAATATCCGGTCCCTGAACTCAAGGAACTTACAATCTAATGGGAAGACATATAGAGAAACAAACACAATATAATAATACAAGAATTATTTTAATGGCATTCTACATACACTACAATGGAAACATTGGAGGAATACCCCAGTTTTGCCTGGGGACTCAGGAAAGTCTCCCAGAAGAGTTGGTTTTGAGCTGACACTTGAAGAATGAGCATCTCCTGGGTCTTCCCCATAAGAAGGACCTAGTGCCTGTGGGTCTGTGGAGTAGACAGAGGCAGGGGGCTTGGGTGATCTCTTCAGAAGCCCTTCTTAGTCCCATGGCTTCTATCTGAGCCCCATTACTGATCCACAAGTGCTTGTCTTTCTCGGAGTGGAGTCCCTGTGTCAGTAGTCAATATGGTTCATCAATAGACGGGAATACAAGGAATATATATCCCGCACCAGAAAAGGCCTGGTCCAAAGACAAAGTTTCTTGTCCTCCAATGTCATTAATATGCTGGAAGAATCTGGGTAGTTCTTGTTGGCTCAGATTGTTAGCTGGTTAGTGAAAGGGGCAGTTAGTTAGCTAGTTATTAAGTTTGTTAATGCCAAGTGACATTCCTAAGCCCAATTCCTAGCTACCTGAGAAGCTAGAAGAGAGTGTGTGTAGGGCACACCTCATTGTCACTATAAAAAATAACTTTTTTAACCTGGCTGGTGTAGCTCAGTGGATTGAGTGCGGGCCTGCAAACCACATGATCACGGGTCGATTCCCAGTCAGGGCACATGCCTGGGTTGCAGGCCAGTTCCCGGCAGGGGACACATGAGAGGCAACCACACATTGATGTTTCTCTCCTTCCCTCCTTCCCTTCCTCTGTAAAGATAAATAAATAAAATCTTTTAAGAATAACTTTTTTTAAAAAAGTACATCCACAATGACAATAATTTCATCTTACACATGGGTCAGGTTTTAGGATGAGGTGCTAGGAAGGAAAGAGGAAGTAAAAGAGGCCAGGTGGTCAGGGCCACATTTCAAAGCAAAACCGTACAGTAAATTGAGGCATCTGTTCTTCCTTCTTCAGAGCAGGACAAGGAGGGTGGTGGACACAGGGTTCTTAGCACAACTTACTGTATTTTACAGACTCGACTCTTGGTTACACATAGCATTCACTTTCTTCCCCAAGTGGATGAGATTGTGGTTCTGGAGAATGGCACGATCTCAGAGAAGGGGTCCTACAAAGCTCTGCTGGCCAAGAAGGGATTATTTGCTAAAAATCTGAAGACATTTAAAAAAGAGACGGGGCCTGAAGGAGAAGCCACAGGTATGTAAGTGTGATTGGAACGGGATGGAGCATGGATAGGGCGAGGAATGGGCATGGTAAGCCGAGACCCACCTCCTGGACTGCTCAGTATCCAGTGAACCAGATTTGAGTGTGAATTGCCCAGAGATCCAAACTCAGCTCTTTCTGTGTTTTGTGTCTCTGTAAAGAAACACAGACATAGAACCTCTATGCCTGAATGAAACTGAAGGTTCATCCTGCTTATCTGGTCTTTGCCATGTGATCACAGGGCACTCTTTAGAAGGGTCTGACTGGAGGTTTGGTGTGATTGGCCCTTCCCTCCAGCCTTGGGTCCTGGTCTCTGAAGCCAAGAAGTAGCCAACCCCTGAACTGCCTTCAGACACATTTTCCCCTTTTCTTGAAGGATAACACATATTTGTGTCTGGATAGTTCTACTGACCCATTTTCTTCCTGCAGAATCCCAGAATTCTGGGAGTGTCCCTTGAATTTTTCTCATCTCTGTCCCCTACAGTCCAAGCTGGCAGTGCCTTGTGAAGACGGTTGACTGAATCAAGTCACATGCCTAAACTCTTTAGCAAATCTACTGTTGAGCTCTTCTAGTAAACTTTTTACTCAGTTATTATAGTTTTAAACTCTAGAATTTCTATTTTCTTCTCTTTAAATAATTTCTATTTCTTTTTTTTTACATTATAGATGATGCAAACCTTTATATATATTTTTATAGTAAATGAGCTGGGTTTTTTTAAATTGATTATGCCCTTACAGTTGTTCTGTTTTCCCCCTTCATTCCCCTCCACCCTGCACACCCCTCCCCCACCATTCCTCCCCTTTACTTTATGACCATGTGTCTCAAGTTCTTTGGATTCTATATTTGCCATACTAATCTTGCCCTCCCCCCTATCTATTTTCTACCTACCGTCTATGCTACTTATTTTCTGTACCTTCTCCCCCCTTCTCCTCCTCCCACTCCCCTGTTGCTAACCCTCCATGGGATCTTCATTTCTATGGTTCTGCTCCTGATCTAGCTGTCGTCTTAGTTTGCTTTTGTTTTAGGTGTGGCTGTTAATAACTGTGAGTTTGCTGTCCTTCCACTGTTCATCTCTTTTTTATCTTCTTTTTCTTAGATAAGTCCCTTTAACATTTCATATAACAAGGGCTTGGTGATGATGAAATCTTTGGATTTGATCTTATCTGAGAAGCACTTTATCTGTCCTTCCATTCTAAATGAAAACTTTGCTGGATAGAGCAATCTTGGTTGTAGGCCTTTGGACTTCATGAGTTGGAATACTTCTTTCCAGCCCCTTCTTGCCTGTAAGGTTTCTTTTGAGAAATCAGCTGACAGTCTGATGGGAACTCCTTTGTAGGTGACTGTCCCCTTAGCTCTTGCTGCTTCTAGGATTCTCTCTTTCATTTTAATCTTGGCTAATGTAATTATGATGTGCCTTGGTGTGTTCCTTCTTGGGTCCAACTTCTTTGGGACTCTCTGAGCTTCCTGGATTTCCTGGAAGTCTATTTCCTTTGCCAGATTGGGGAAATTCTCCTTTATTATTTGTTCAAATAAGTTTTTCACTCATGGCTGTTCCTCTTTCCCTTCTGATCTTCCCCTATAATTCAGATGTTGGGACGTTTAAAGATGTCCTGGAGGTTCCTAAGCCTCTCCTCATTTTTTTGAATTCTTGTTTCTTCATATTTTTCTGTTTGGTCATTTTTTTCTTCCTTCTGGTCTACTCCCTTGATTTGAGTCGCCATTTCCTTTCCATCACTATTGGTTTCCTCTGCATTTCCCTTCATTTCAATTAGTTTAGCCTTCATTTGTTCCTTTAATTTGTGACTAAAATCAACCAGTTCTGTGAGCATCCTGATCACCAGTGTTTTGAACTGTGCATCTGATAGGTTGGCTCTCTCCTGGTCACTTAAGAGTTATGGGCTCTGGGGCTTTGAGTTGTTCTTGAGCCATGTTTTGGTCTGTTCACACCTGTTACCTATGAGGAGTGGAGCCTTAGGTATTCACCAGGGTGAGGTGACCCAGTCGCTGGGTTGTGATGCTGTATGTGGGGGCAGGGTCAAAGGGGCAATGGCCGTCTTTTCTGCTGCTTCCTGCCACTGGGGCCTGCGCAGTCTGTCTCAATGCTTACTCCTTCGCTGGTTTATCTGTGCGCAAATGTGTGACGAGGTCAGCCTGCTGCCTTGCACCCTCACTGGGTCTGCCCGTCACAACCCCAAGCCTGGGACCTACCAACCACCGCCCACGTGCCTGGGTTGGTCTGGAGGAGTTTTCCTGTGCAACCCGGCTCTGCCAGTTGCTGGCTCCACCCCTCTTACTTGTCTGGATGAAGGATTTGTTGTCGTCGGATTTTAGTATAGTTCAATTTTCTGTGTTTTGGCTGCGTTTTTTGTTACTAAAACTTTGCTGTCTTTAAGCTTGGTTGTGCAAGAAGGCACAATGTTTCCACCTACGCCTCCATCTTGGTGGAAGTTGTACTTCTTTATTGATGTTCTCTGCTTGGTGAGAACTTACTCTCATATTTTCCAGTAGCTCTTTAGACAGGATTTTCTTTTGTCCTTTGAACATATTTATAATAGCTGATTTAGAGTCTTTGTTCAGTAAGTTCACTGTCTGTGCTCCCTCAGGTGCAGTTTCTGTGGACTGCTTTTTTCCCGTATATGGTCCTATAATTTCCTGTCTTTTTGTATGTCTTATAATTTTTTGTTGAAAACTGGTCATTTGAAATAACATAACCCTCGGGAAATAAGATTTTTCCTTCTTCTGCCAGGGTTTGTTATGTTGTTCCACCTATGTAGTTTCTTGAACTATTCTGTTAAATCTGTATCCTTTGTCACCTGTGGCAACTGAAGTGTATGCTTGGTTGACTGAGGGGTCAGTTAATAACTGAACATTATTTCCTGAAGTGCTGGGAACCAGTAAGTCATTCTGCCTTTTCTAAGAGGCTGGGAGAAGAGGTGAGGGCATGTCTTTAACACTCCACCAGGCAATTTACAATTCTGTCTGTGCCAGGGACATTTTGTTTTTGGTTTTTTCTGCTTACACAGAGCCTGATGGTTAGCCAGAGGTGAGAGAGCAGGGCCTTGTCAAGTTTTCTTGGGCATGTATGTAGCCCTACACATCTGTGTGACATTTTAGATGACCAGGAATATGTATCAAAGCTCTTTATTAATATCTCATTTCCAGTTTTTCCTTTGAAGGTTTTGGTCAGCTTCTTATTTATCCAACTGCTATAACAACCTCAGGCAGCAGTGATGTTGAACAATTGCTGCTAGCTGTCTGAGCTAGCTAGCTCTGAGTCAGGTCCAATAAAGACCAACTCTGTGAGTGAGGTTTTCCTGGGAATGGCCAGACAAGTCAAATGAGGAAGATTCTCCAGGGGTGAGGTGTTGGGAGTGGGGGATCCAAACCAGTTTGTTCCCTCCAGCAGCCTCTAGGCTGCTGGTTTTTATCATTAATATGATTGTGAGGCTGTTGGTTTTCCAGGCTATAGCAGATCTGAGGAGAGGGGGATGGGAGTAGAGTAAATTAAATGATCATAAAGCTTACTATTCTTACTAATATTTAGTCATTTTCCTTAAATTAATGTTCCTTGGATTGTTGCAAGCTTTTGGCTAATTTCAGAGTTACGAAAAAGTTGATTTTGACAACTTTTTTGCTATTCTCATTGACTTTATGGAGGTACCAATTTCTGGATATCCTTACTCTACCATTCGGATGCCAAGGTTATGTTTGCATTTTATTTTATTTTCAGGGCATGTTTTTAAATACTTTAAATTTATAAAAAGTTTGTCAAATTATTAGAATTTCAAGAAGGGGATTTTAAATTTATATTTACCTCTTTAGTCAGTTCTAAGGTATGACTCTTGTGTTCATCTATGATAACTCTTAAAAGTTATTTTTTGCTCCAAAGCAACTTAGAAGATTCTGGGAATATTTTTCTCATTTTGACCATTTTATCTTCCGGTGGACTATTAACTCATTTCTCTTTTATCTTGGTATTTATCAATGAGAAAATGTACCAATAAGTAATATTTCTGGAGTAAAACATTCCAGCCTATGTAGACATCTGGGATCTCCAGTGAGCCCGGCAGTATCAGAAAAGACATCCCTCTCCTTGTCCACAGGGCCGTGAGAGCTCTGTGCAGCTATCTCTCTAACTTTAATGTGTTTCCTAGTCAATGAGGACAGTGAAGAAGAAGATGACTATGGGTTGATGCCCGGTGTGGAGGAAATCCCCGAGGATGGGGCCTCCTTGACCATAAATAGAGAAAACAGCCTTCGTCGGACACTTAGCCACAGGTTGGTCATCTCTTCAGCTGGCAGCCCCCATTCCTTCCATATTTCCTCTTGGTCATTCTCTTTTTTCTATGTGCATAGTGGACATCAGGAACACTCCCTACTCTTCCTTTGTTTCCTTGTATGGGGATGAGGGTTGGGGTAGTTTGTTTCTCCAAGGCCACCTGATTTGAAATGAACTTTGATGCAATCAGAGAGATTGTGACATCTGCTTGTGAGAAGACCCTCATGCTCAGGAAAGCCTCCCCCTTTTCAATTTCTCAGATCTAGGTCAAATAGCAGGCCTCTGAAGCCCCTGAAAAACTCCTTGAAAACTTGGAATATGAATACCCAGAAGGAAGGGGAAGAACTGGTGAAAGGACAAAAATTAACTAAGAAGGAATTCATACAAACTGGAAAGGTGAACACAACAGTAAAATGTACCATTAGAGGTGATACGAGGCTTAGAATTCCAACATTTCAAAGTTTGATGACTTGAAAACACATCTCTGGAAGGGCTATGTCTTATGCTTGCTTTGCCAATCTTTAAATTCATTATCGAAATGTTGATAGAGAGTCTTGGCTTTCTATCAAATCATATTTCGTGAAGAATGATGTTTCCTGTGAATATCTTCATAGCACACTTCCTGGGTGTTTGATTCCATGCTAATATGTGGAGCAAACACCAAAAGTGCTTTGAGATGAAATTCTGGGAGCCGGAAGTCACTAATACATCTCAGAGTACACAATTCAAATGAACAAAACTTAAAACCAAGGTCTTAAATTTAAGGTCTTAAATCCAAGTTGATGAAATAAATCCCAGGGTATACAGTATAACCCCATTTGTCACACTCCATTTGTCTATCTTCCCCTTTTAATTGCTTCTAGAACCTCATTAATAATCTGATGGTCATTTACCTTGCGTTGTATTTAAGCATTGATTATTATCCTGGCCCAATGCAGAAATGATAACCACAGTCTACCAAAGTCTTCTACTTGTGATCCATTTTTTTCCGGGGACCACACTCCTCCTTGTGATTGGTATTCTAGGTAATTCTCCACCAAAAGCCATTATGAATTCTACTAACATTGAGATGTGGGCTTTGCAGGTCAAGTCCTCCATCTACCTGAAATACCTGCGAGCAGTAGGATGGTATTCAATCTTCTTCATCATCCTTGCTTATGTAATTAATTCTGTGGCTTTGATTGGATCCAATATCTGGCTCAGTGCTTGGACCAGTGACTCTAAAACCTACAATGGTACCAACTATCCACCCTCTCAGAGGGACATGAGAGTTGGCATCTATGGAGCTCTGGGATTAGTGCAAGGTATGACTGATGGCTACAACAGCCATTTCTTATACAATCTGTCTGGTCAATGGGTTTTGCCTAGACTCAGGCAAAGAATTGCCACTGTGTCCTTGGCACAAGACTTCAGGGATCCCTGTGCATGGTGCTGACTGCACTGTTTCCATTTCTAGGTATATTTGTGCTCACAGCAAATCTCTGGAGCGTCTATGGCTTCACCCACGCATCAAACCTCCTTCACAAGCAACTGCTGAACAATATCCTTCGAGCACCCATGAGTTTCTTTGACACGACACCCATAGGCCGGATTGTAAACAGGTTTGCTGGTGTAAGTATCTCAAAAACTGTAAGATTATGTGTTTTTATGCTGAGGATCTTTCTATTTCTGACAGGGAAAGAATGCTCATGTCCCCCTGGGCAACACTGTGCAGTTCTTTTGTCCATCAGCATACAAATGACTTCTTGAGTACTTTGGGTGAGGTCGCAAGGATTCTGGGGATATAGAACTGAACAGTTCTGACCCTTTAAGTAGCTCACCATCTAGTGAGTAAGACAGCCAAGGAAATAAAAGATTGTAATATAATATGGTAAAACCAAAATAACAATGATGTGTACAATGGTATTGTGGGAATACAAAAGAATGACAGAGAAAGGAGGGTGTGGCTCAGCCTGAGTGGTTTAGGGTGGGAAATGTGAGAAAGGGTGAGACTTAAGTTATAGAAGTTTAACCAGGGAGACAGCGGGTGTAGGTGTGGGGAGGTGGCAGTAGAATCAGGGTGAGGAGAATTGGTGTGCAGAGGGAAAACACAAGTAACAGTATTATCACTGACTACAACAATGAATTAAAGGAATAGCAGGATAACCCTTTCCTTGGTCTCCACCTCCATTCCTGAAACCTCTGGCATTTATGCTTTAAGAATAAGTAAATTAGATACAGGTTATGGAAGAGAGGCACCGGTGGTTTTAAGGAGGTTCTAAAACATTGTCTCTATCTACTGTAGATCATTTGTTCATTTATTCATTCGATGACATTTATTGAGCATCTTCTACGAGCCAAGGACTGTCCTAGTCATTGGAATGCTCAATAAATGTTAAGATTATATAGATGGCTCTCTTCCAGGGGCCAGACAAATTCATTGATTTTTTTTATATCATCACCCAAAGATATGCTTATTGATCTTAGAAAGAGTGGAAGGAAGGGAGTGAGAGAGGGAGAAAAACATCAGTGTGAGTGGGAAACATCAACAGGTTGTCTCTCATAGGTGCTCCAACCTGAGACCAAACCTGCAACCTAGGTGTGTGCCCTGACTGGGAATTGAACCTGCAACCTTTCAGTGTATGAGACAACATTCCAACCAACTGAGCTACCTGGCTAGGGTCAAACTCATTGACCCTTAATGCATAATGAGATGGAGCTTTTAGGAACAGAGGCAAAAACTAGGCAATTCTGAGTAGTATTCAGTGATCGCCAGCACAGTTTTCAGTCCTCTGCAGAAGAGGGAGTACATCTTTTTAAATGTCTGAGCAGCTCTGGACCCTTTTTTGTGTGGTCTTGAAGTAGACACAGAAAGGCTACCTCATAACCCACTGCCGAGCTTGGGGACACAGTGACTGCTTCAAGGGTGGGCATTTACCACCTTCCTCTGGGACAAGAACGGTGGGCCTGATGTCACTGGAGACGACTTTAATGGGCTCTCTCCTCTTTAACAGAACCTTAAAAGGCACACCATTTTCAACAGGGAGATTTCACACAGGTGCAAAAATTGCAACCTGTTCCTGGTATTGTAATATCTAATTAATCTTCTGAAAAAGAGAACACAGAGATCTTACTGTGAGTTGTTTAGGCAACAGTTGTACTTGGCTGCTTTTGCAGCAAAAAAAAAGAAGCTGTCATTAATTATATAGTGAGTTTTATGGGGGAAGTGGCTCAGGCCCATAAAGGACAGTTTGATCGAGGGTCCTCTAGAACTGAAGGCTGAGCCCTTAAGGGGAGATGGATGAGGGGGTGGAGGAAAGAAGGAGAATCTGTGCCAGGTAAGAGTGAAAAGCAATGTGCATAGAACAGAGAGCTGGTGAGGATTTATTTCTTTCTGCCAACCCTGGACATACTATCATTCACATTCTGATGTATACTCAGGAGTCATCCACTCTTCAGGACTCTATTAGGAAACTGTTATCCCTTGCCCAGTTTGGGACACTCCAGAGATAATATGGAGTCCATTTGATACTCACACATTACTAATCTTTGAATCAACAGATTCTAAGAAATATAGGCAAGGGAAATCCAAAAATATAAGCTATTCTTCCTGTGTATACTCAACCATCCATCTATTCTTTCATCTACTCATTTGCTCATTTATTCAGCAGGACGTAAAGGGGATATGGCAGTGAGACCCACTCATCATCTCTGGTTAGAACACTAACCAGGAGAGGACCCACCTCCCTCTCCCCTTGCAGTTCTACGCTTGACAGAGGAAACAACTTTCCAGGTTCCTCAGTCAAGGTGGCGCATGGCATCTGGCAGGGCTTCTTGACTGGAGCCACCAGTCAAATGTTTATTGAATGCTTGTGAGATGCCAGGCTCTATTCAAGGTACTCGATGGAACTGGGACCTGTGTACAGTTAGAATGATCCAATCGACTTGGCTAGAGGAGGGTTTACCTTGTAAGGCTCTATTAGCTTAGGGCGGTTATGAATGGTTTAATAAATTTCACAAATGGGAATTTCACTTAAAAGAGTAAATCTATTGAAGGGTGACTGCCATATCTGTTTGGAGGGATTTAGAAAGCTAAAGACATCACAGAAATGGCATTGCTTTTCAGGGTGAGCAGAACAGTCTATTGCAAATGAATATCATGAAGCGATTAAATGAAGGAGTCGCAGAGAACTCAAAATTGAACACATTTCCTGCTGGAAGCAGGAAAATCTAAAATGCTGTAGGAATTCATCAGTATACCATCTTTCCTGACTGTGTTCCTAGGATATTTCCACACTGGACGATACCCTCCCCATGTCCTTGCGCAACTGGATTTTTCACTTCCTGGGGATCATCAGCACCCTTGTCATGATCTGCATGGCCACTCCAGTCTTCATCATCATCATCATTCCTCTTGGTGTCATTTATGTGTCTGTTCAGGTAGGCTCAGAAATGGCTATGTCTCCTTTCTTCTCTGTTTATAAAGCCCAGCTTCCTTCCTGGGAATCTTCTCTTTTGTTTACTGCTAGTCACTCCCTCGTTCTTCAACATCTTTGTCATTCACTTGTATATCGATAACCTGAGGAGCCCACAGGCCACTATCTGAAGCTGAAGTGGCAGCACCAATTGGTGCATGGCCCACGGCAAGTCCCACCTTAACTGCTGTCCCCCAAGATGCTTAAGTGGGGGCATACTCATGTTTATATCCAAGACTGCCATGAGGGTGTCCCTGGACAAAGTTGTGAAGCTCTATGAGACCCCCCCAAGGGTTAGGTCATTGGTTGCTATGGTGGCTTCCTTGGCTGACTAGGCTTATCTGTTTGGAGTTCTCTCCTCAGGAATCCTGTCTCTTTCCTCTTCAGGGCAGGTCCAGTTTCACTGGGTCCTTTGGACGGCTCAGGCTCCGTTCTAGTGTGTTCTTGAGGGAACAGAAGCTAGCTTGAGAACCAAGCCCCACAGAAAAACCGGGGCAAGTGGAAGGGACTCCATGCCCATAATAGAAACTGGTGCAGGGAGGGAGCTGTGAAGAGAACTTGTGTCCTGCCAGTTACCTTCTGGAGAAACAGGAAAACAGTTCCGACCTCGCGACCAGGCAGTGAGGAACCTCCCCCTGGTGTCTGTACTGAGTTCCTCCTCAAGTACATTGTCATCTTGGTAACAGCCTTCTGACTGTTAATAACAAACCCATAAATAAGATGCAGGGCATTTGAGAAAACTTGCAGGCATAATGCTTTGAGTTCTGGCTCTCAGATGCTGAGCTCTTTCCTGATTTCAACTAACCCTCGAGGAATCTAGCAGCACCACTAACCAACCCACTCCACCAGACCTCGCCCTCCAGCCCCCAGGGCTCAGAGTCGGCCTACACTCCGTCACGCCCAGTTCTGGCTCTCAGACCCTCCACAGGCCACACGCCTCTGGACCGTCTCTCACCACAGCACCGAGGCACAGTTTTGGTCGCCCGCCTGTCTCCATTCAATCTGTATCCACGCCTCCCTCCTCCTGCCTTTCCCTGGCCACGTCCTGACCATCCCCACTTTCCATGGCCCTTGGGTCCCATCTGCATTTACACAGTCATTTTGAAGAACATTTTTTTTCTAACTGCTACAAAAAAACCCTGTCATTTGGGCAATATATGCAGATCCTTGGGGACAGCACGGACTAGGCTGACAAAACTGCTTACGTGGTTGGAAGTTCAGGCCGCTCAGGCCGTGGGAGAGCCCCTCACTGCCATCTTCTGTTCCCCGCCAACCTCAGACCTCCCGCCACCCTCTTCCTCTGAGCCCCTCTCATCACTCTTCCGGCCGGAGGTGAGACTGGGGGGCTTCCGTCCTGTTCAGTGTGGGCCGTGACCATCAAGGTGAAGAACACCGGGTCACGGTCACAAAGGAAGACGTGCAGCCGATGTGACAGAATCGTGTGACTAACTGACTCCTTATCTTTGGGGTCTAGATGTTCTACGTGGCCACTTCCCGGCAACTGAGACGCCTGGACTCTGTCACCAGGTCCCCGCTCTACTCTTTCTTCAGCGAGACCGTGTCGGGCTTGCCTGTCATCCGTGCGTTTCAGCACCAGCAGCGGTTTCTGAAACACAATGAGGTGTTGATTGATACCAACCAAAAATGTGTCTTTTCCTGGATTATCTCCAACAGGTGAGGCTTCCCCGGGTGTTTACCCAAATGTGCGCTTTGGGGTGCTGCGTGCGTGACCTTAGCTATGGGACAACAGGCATGGCCAGTGGTAAGAAAGTCACTCCAGCCAAACACACCTGCAATGGAAGGAGAGAGAAGACAGCAGGAGCTGTGGCGTCAGAGACCTGCCCTGGTCCCAGTGCCATTTCCCACATGAGGGGCGCTGCCTCCCCTTCTCTAGGGAAACCTCGCTTTGTTCGTTTTGACACCGGCCAGGACACAGCCACCTCACAGGCTCACCGCACAAGGCAGATGATGCCGGTGCGCACAGTGTGCCCCACCTCCTGCCCAGGTGCTGGGGGACCCGGGCATTCTCTGTTCGCTTCCCTGGGCGTGCGTGTGAGATTCTGCGTAGGCAGGACAACCTCTGCAGGCAGTGAGAGAAGCAGAGGCTGGAGGGAGGGGACTTGGGGTTTGGTAGGGAAAGCCAGTGACGACATTGGAAAGCTCGCATCCTGTGAGGGGACTCGCGGAGGAGGGTGAGCGTTCTTCACTTCCCCAGCATCACTAGACCCTGGTGAGAAGTGGCAGGTACTTGAAGGAGAAGGGTCTCGTAGAGGAAGTGGAACTCTCCAGCGCCTTCCACGAGGTCTGGAGGCGCTAAGGGCAGACCGCGCTCTCAGTGTTATCTGGGCCGTGGTGAGGCTGGGGATTTGACAGTGAAGACATTTGACTTATTAGGTACTTTTCAAGAAGGAAACAGGTATATGAATCAGTCCTGTTGGATGCCCATTGTAAATGTGTATCATATTTATTTGTGCAATGCTCGAATTTTGGGTGCGAATTTATTTAAATACAGTTTATTTGGGGAAGTCGGTGTTTATAAACATGTCTCTCTGTACCCTCCCTGCTCTCTACAGTCGGTCTCCCTGTGACCCCGCCACACCTACTTCTCCCCACCCCCACAGCCCTCTTCGCCTTTTCAACACCGTGAAATCGGACAGGATGCGCTGCGCTCTGCCCTGCCGCTCACACGTGGGCTCCCCCAGGGGGGTCCACCCTGCGGCCCACAAGCCGCACGCGGCCCAGGATGGCCACGCATGCTGCCCAACACAACGTCAGAAGTTCACTTAAAACACTGTGACTTTTTTATGTGATTACGCCTTGCAATGTATGTAATGTGAGGCCCAAGACAACTCTTCTTCCAGTGTGGCCCAGAGAGACCAAAAGTTCGGGCACCACTGAGAGTGTGGCACGATTTCCCCGCCTAATCAGAAGAACTCGTCTGGCACATTTGTTTAAGCGCAGGTTCCTGAACCTCACCCTAGGCCCCCTGAGTCAGAGTTTCCTGGGGAAGAGGCCAGACTTTTTTGTCATTGTTGCATGATTTCGCTTATTTTTACCAATTGCCCCTAACCAGATGACCCTTCTGATTCGGCAACTTTGGGAGGCATTGAACCATAGGGAGTCCCTTAGTTTAGCAAACTCCGCCAAACTAAGTACAGGGTCTTTTCTAAAATCCAACTGGAAAGACTTCAGGAACACATGGCAGGGTCAGACTGAAGCACCTGCTGGGAACATGGTTCTCTCAACTCAAGGCCCTAGAATGTTCTACAAACACCTCTTCTTTCCACTGCTGGGTCAGGTGAGGAATTGGATACCTCCCAGTGATGCCTCTCTCTGGTTCTGCTGTCCTACAGGTGGCTTGCCGTGCGTCTGGAGCTGGTCGGGAACTTGGTTGTTTTCTTTTCGTCCTTGATGATGGTGATTTATAAAGACACCCTGAGTGGGGACACCGTGGGCTTTGTGCTGTCCAATGCACTCAATGTGAGTCTGAAGGTCGGGGGGTGCGCTTCAATTCATGTGCTTGTTCTCAAACTGTGCCCAGAGTGTGCCCCGGGCCCATGCTCTTGAGTCTTTTTGAGATCCAGGAGCACTAGGGGAGACTGAGGTTCAAACCCTGGCTCCATCTCTTACCAATTGCGTAACCCATGGACACAATTCGTCCTCTTTCTACATAGGTACCAGTGTCATCTGGACATAAATGTTGTTGCTCTTGGGAGTTAAGAAAGCAATTTTTAAAAAGATTTTATTTTATTTTTCAAAGAAGGGGAGGGAAGGAAGAACTATTGATCAGTGTCTTCTCGCACCCTCTCCCCACTGGGGACCTGGCCCACAGCTCAGGCATGTGCCTTGGCCAGGAACCAAACCAGCAACCTTTAGGTTTGCAGGACAACACCCAACCCACTGAGCCACAGCAGCCAGGGCAAGAAAGCAATTTCATATGAGTCGGTCTAATAATTCCCTGTCCCTTTGCCTCTTTGATCAATTCTAGTCAAAAGAGAAAATATTAGTTTCTTCCCCATAATAATAGCAGTAACCAGAAAGTCTTTTGAGCAAATAACTTCTGTTCATTTTTCTTAGATTACACAATAATTGGAGATAATTCTGATAAAGAACATAGAGTTCAGTAAGACTATACTGCATCCTCAGAGTGACTAGGGGCTAAAGGTTAGACATTATTTCCCTGCACCAAAGACCGTGGCTGGCACTATAATAAATGTCCAATAAATGATACCCACTTAATAGGTCCTTTGGTCATCTTTCACGGTATCTTTCTGAACTAATACCGGGGGTTTGCACAGCTACCAGCGCCCTCTACCTGGTGCTGTCTCCCGGAAACATTAATGAGGCCCAGGGCAATCTCGGCGACACCTGGAAGGATGCGTTGTTCACCAGAGTGCCACACTGCTCCCTGTGCCACCGGTTCTTTGTCCACCCATTTCCAGGCTTATCAACCTAGGAGAGAGGGGACAAAGAATTAGAGAACTATTAGAGTGAACCAAAACAAACACATTCACTATCAACCATTTCATGTGGGTTCCACCTACACAACATGTGTAACTCTTAGTCTCCTCAATCCTGGGCTCTCCCTCTTTCTACCCACCATTCACTCCACTAGCACTGGTCTGAGTCTCTGCCTGGAGTGAGCTTCCTGAGGCTCTGGATCATGACCACCCCTGTGGGTGGTGAGAGGCGTCTCTGTAATGGCAGCAAGGCACTCGGGGTTTACAGGGTAAAGGGGGGACAGGACCCACCCTGAGGGCTGGGTTCTCAAAAGAGCTGTTGCTAACTGAGAGCAGAGAGAAGAGGCAGCCTTTGGCAGGTGTTTTCCCACCTGGTGCCTTTTCTTGTGTTTTCCCCATTTGTAGAAGGCCACCCACCACCCTTTCCGCAAAGAACATGAAGCTCACAGGCAGGAGAGCCAAGTTCTGGCTCCTCTCCACCACCTGCCAGCCTCTGCAGCCCCAGCTTTGGCCCCAAGACACTCCAGGCTCATACGGTCTTTCACGTGAGCACCACACAGTTGAGCGTTTAGGTCGAGCTGTTCGATGCACCCATCTCACGCACTTCCTCCTTTAAGGGGGTGAATATTAAACTTACGCTTTCCTTGCTCCCTGGTAGAGTAGAGCCTGGCATAACGCTGAGCGTTGACGAGTTGCATTGGTTTCTGAGCCTGAGATGATCTTTAGTCTTCTGGTTTTTCTGTAGATCACACAAACCCTGAACTGGCTGGTGAGGATGACGTCAGAAGTCGAGACCAACATTGTGGCTGTGGAGCGGATCACTGAGTACATAAACGTGGAAAATGAGGTAAGACGGTACCAGAGAAACTCGGGGACGAGGCAACGGCAGAGATGCGACTCCCCTGAGGGAGCCCTCTGCCCTTGTCTAGAGACCACACGTGGAGGTTTATAAAGGTTCACCTGCCGGTTCCCCTTGCTGCAACTCAAATGACCAGATTCCTTTCAACTTAGAATAGGAAATGGCTTGGGGAAAGTCACATCTTCAAATGTACTAAGTTAAATCCTGGCTTCATTCTGGAGGCCTTGTGAGAAAGGGTTTCTTCGACTGAATAAGGCAGGAACCTCTGGAAGCGGTAGTCTAGTTCCGCCCATTAAACGCAGATGCCCACAGGCGGCTGAAACACTGCTACCCCTCTACTGCTCTGTGACGCCAGTCCTATGGGGACTGTTCAGCTAACTGAGTCCATAGAAAACTTTTCCCCTGTCTCCTTGCCAGGCACCCTGGGTGACTGATAAGAGGCCTCCGGCGGGTTGGCCCAGCAAAGGGGAGATTCAGTTTAACAACTACCAAGTGCGGTACCGGCCTGAACTGGATCTGGTACTGAAAGGGATCACATGTAACATCAAGAGCCAGGAGAAGGTAGGTGGGGCCGAAGAAAGGCCGGGATGTGGGTCCTTGTGATGGGAGGGCAGTTGGACACAGAAGTGGTGAGTGAGCAACCAAGCCCCAGGCTTTCATCTTTCCTGCGAAGTGAGGGACAGGATCGGGCACTTCCCGGGCTGGGAAATGTAATAACACAGCACCACCACCAGAGGGCAGGATATAAACATGGGATCGATCGGACTTACTGGGGCTGTAAGGCCTTTCTGCTCAGCCCTGCCCTGCTTCCTTGCCCCTTTACTTCTGTAGCTGGCCGGGGATCATTTCCCGAGGGGGCCAGAGAATGTAAAGAGGAAGCAGGAAGCACAGCAGTGCGGAGCTTCTCCCTGCGGAGAGAATGGCCTAGTTCTCCTTCAGGTTTTGCAAAGTCCTGCACCCTCGTTTGGTGGCCTTTCTCTCTGAGGACTTGGGGTCTGATGTAGGACCAGAAACCCTCTGGGGAAGAATGCCGAGGTCCAGGTCAGGTCTGGTTCTCAGCTGATGACAGGCCTGATCGCTCCCTTCTCACTTCTAAACAAGGATTTTTAAAAATCTATAATTTCCAGTAATAATTTTAACAACAGCTGCCGATGCGTCCGTTTCCAATAGTCACTGTGGTTCTCGGCGAGCCACAGGCTAGGGGCGGGATGGGACAGCTGTCTTGTTCTGACGTCTCAGCCCTTTTCCCCACCGAACCCCAAATCGGTTCAACATCTTAGAGATCAAGTGGCCAATCACTGCCTCTTTCCACCTGTGACCTGTGATTCTGACTGCCTCAGGCTGCATTTTTCTCCACCAAGGATTACATGGTGACCTAACCTGGGGGCCTCCTTACAGATTGGTGTGGTGGGCAGGACAGGAGCCGGGAAGTCGTCCCTGACAAACTGCCTCTTCAGGATCCTAGAGGCTGCAGGCGGCCAGATCATCATCGATGGGGTAGATGTTGCTTCCATCGGGCTCCACGACCTCCGAGAGAAACTGACCATCATCCCGCAGGTGAGCTCTGGCACTTCCTCTGTCACACACGGCAGGGGACAGAGGCAGGAAACGTGTGCGTCTTCTTCTTGGTGTAGATTCCATGAGCAGTGTTATTTCTGCAGGCTACCCCGGGTGCCTGAGCTAGTTCCCTCCCTAAAACACACTGTTTCCAGAACTTCCAAAAATAAGGTCTATTTTTTTGTTTTCTCTTTTCTTTTTTCTTATTTTTTGTAATATGCTCGTGTGACTGCCTGTAGCTAGCCAGTAGGTGGCAGCAACACAACCCAAGTCATATAAAGCAGATGATTATTTAGCATTTCTATAGCCCAGCATGGTTTGTGCCACCTTTTGCGATCAGCACTAGCAGTTTTGCCACTGAAGCCTGAAACAATTAAGCTTTATATTCCTCACTTGATAAGGTTAAAAGACAGAGTAGGGAGTTTGCTGCAGGTTTCTGCCAGCAAGCCAACTCTCAGTGCATGGGCAAGAGAGACTTCCCTTCGGCTTCCTCTCTGGACCCCACCAAGTAAGGACCGTCCTGGAGGCTTCTGGGTGGAATGTGGGTCCTCATTAGAACCGCCCCTCCTCTGCTCCCTGCAGCCGAGTCTCTCTCGGGGTGGTTTTGGTTCTCGGGGGGTTTATTCGGTTTGATGCACTCTTTTCTCCAGCTTCTTCAAAGGCGTAATAAATTCCTCTCCGGTGACTGTAGCACCCATGATTCTTCTATTTCCACACCATGAGTTTTTCTTTGGGAGTGTGGGACTTGCAACCCAGCTTTCCCTCCCGGGCTAGTTCTACTCACTTTCTCCCTGCCGCCCAGCTCGGCAAGCCCCTTTTCTGCCATTAGCCCCAATAGCCCCATTCGTCCCTTGACACGCAGGACCCCATCCTGTTCTCTGGAAGCCTGAGGATGAATCTAGACCCTTTCAACAACTACTCAGATGAGGAGATCTGGAAGGCCCTGGAGCTGGCTCACCTCAAATCCTTTGTGTACGGCCTGCAACTCGGTTTGTCCCATGAGCTGACAGAGGCCGGTGACAACCTCAGGTAATGTTTCCTAACCCACCGACCCACAGGCAGTGACAGGAGGTGAGGGGAATGACTGCTTGGCTCCGTGCGCTAGAAGGTGCCTGGCACGGCCCAGGTGTGATCCCTCGTGTGTAAAGGGGACCTGCTGTGAAGATGACAGGAGAGAACAGATGAAAATGTGCATGGGAACTACTGATTGTTGGTGCATGTGCCCTCATGAGACTTTAAATGGAGTTCCCATGTCTGCCATTGTGGAGTTTTTTCCTTTTAGCTGCTCCCTGCAGTCAGGACAAAAACAATCCCGATGCCTAGTCCAAGCCAAGAAAGTCGGGTTTCACCGGTATGAGGTGCGCGCTGGACCTGGGAGTTCCACAGGATCCCGGGGGTTGCTGTGGGCATCCCAGGTGGGGCAGCACAGGTCTGCAGGGCAGCAGTGACGGGGACGTGGCATCCACAGAGTCCGCGGGCCCCCGAACACCTGACACCTGCAGAGACTCTCCGCTTCCCGGTGCTTGCTGCCTTCCCAGAGGCCTTCTATAAATGTCGACAGTTCACATTTACTTACAGCCTTCAGTACATGCTTAGCTATCAGTTAATAAGTTGACCTGGCAATTTCCCTTTGACAACTGAGTGTTTCCCTCCACACGCTGACGGTCAGCCCTCAGCCAAAACCCACTGCTCAGACGCAGGCCTTCCTGCAGTCCCAGGGGTCCTCAGAGTGGCCAGCAGGGCCAGGGCCACTAGCAGGTGAGGCTCATCAAAGAAGGGAGGCCCCGTTAACTCAATTAGTGGAGCAGCAGCTCTGGCTTCACCCGCGGACTTGTAAATGGAGATACTGAGGCTCTTGAGCAGAATCTGCAGTTTAGTAAGATTCCCCGGTGATTTTCATGTATATTACAGTTTGAGAAGCGCTGCCCAGAACACTGGTTCTTAACTAGGCTGCACACTAGAATCACTCAGGGATCTTTAAAAAAAAAAAAAACATCTCAGTGCCCAGGCTGCACCCCAGACCAGCTGACTCAGGGGCCCAGACGACTTCAGTGTGCAGCTTTGGGAGAGAAGGCTGCCACGTTTGTTTCCCCCCAGAAATGGGTGTAGGAACCAGCAGGACTTAAGTGCGCCCGTAGCCTATAGACCATTCAAACATTCGGTCGACAGGAACAGCTTGCGCACCCACCACATCCAGGCACTGGAGACAGAGCGGTGGAGGACACAGACCCAACCGCCGGCCTCCCAGCACCGATGGCTCAGTGGGGAAGACAGGCCTTGTGCGAGGAAAGGCCCAGCAGCAAATGCTGCAGACACGAGGGGCCCTGTGCAGCCCTCCGTCAGGATGTGATGGCGGGGAGGGGGGGCCTTGATGCTTCCGGCTTATAAGGAAAAATCACACCGTCCTTCTCTGCCCATGCTGGAGACACTCGAAGGCATCCCCAGCGCCTTGATTTCAGCCCGTGTTTGGTGGTGGTAAAACGTAAACTTCCCAGAGATGGATCAGCTGGGAGAGAGACACGGCAGCTGGAGCCAAACTGGGGCCTCAGCAGCAGCCTGTGATAGGAGGTCCGACAGAACAGCAGGAGTTGGGTGTCGGCTCAGGAACTAGTTTCGCAGTGGCCTCTGTTTTTACAGTACAGAGAAAAACTGGAAGTTCATCTTGGGTGCCTTTTCATCTGCAGAAATTTTCTCCCAGAGAATTACAGGACTTTTAGTCTAGCCACCCTCTGTTCAATATGTTCCCTGATGGCCACGGCAGGCAAGAGCAATCAGCTAATTACGGAGTATTTGCTCCACATCATTTCCCAAAGCTTCTCTATGTAAGTAAGAGGTCCGGCCTTCATTACCAGCTCTTCGCAAATTAAAGTGATTTGTGTTTCACAAATCCACAAATTCACATATTCAAGTTCCACATGCATTGCATCTCACACCAAGACATGTTCATTAGAGAGCTACATCTCTAATCGAGGCAGAAGGCCTCGAACAGATAATGAGCCTTGAGACCAGAATTACACATTAAAATAACAGATGGATTTGCGAAGGCCACTAAGAAATGCCACTGAGGCAGTGTTGCGGTATCTTTATGGTGTCGGGTCAGACACTGCAGAATTGAACTTGGGGCATCCGTCTTGCTTTGGACTTGTTGGCGTGCCAGGATGTCACCGTAGTCAAAGGCAAAGTGCTTATTCCTGCCCTCCTCTTTCCCAAGCTTGTTACACAAGAAAATTCCCTGGGCTGCTTGTTAAAAATACACATTCCTTGGCTCCTTCCTATTCCACCTGAGTACGGGGGGCCCACAGGTGTGAGTTTTTAAAATCAAGTACTTGGGTCTTCTAATTCACGGGGAGGTTTGGCGAACATTGCCCGTGGGAACAAGGAACAGCTGGTGGAAGAGGCCGCGTGGCATTGTGGACCGGGGCGGTTAGGGTGCGGGTTTTCTAAGTCTCCTCGGCCGGACCTCCCAACCCCGGTTCTTCCTTGGGCCCTGGGCTAAGGCGTGTTTTCTCCCCTGGTCTGCAGCATCGGGCAAAGGCAGCTACTGTGCCTGGCCAGGGCTCTGCTGCGGAAATCCAAGATTCTGATCATGGACGAGGCCACTGCGGCCGTAGACCTGGAGACGGATCGCCTCATCCAGATAACCATCCAGAAGGAGTTCTCCCACTGCACGACCATCACCATCGCCCACAGGCTGCACACCATCCTGGACAGCGACCGGTGAGTGGGGCGGTTTAACCCTTTGTCGAAGTGCGGGTGGGTCACTGCGGGAGGAGCCGCCGCCGTCATTTTACTGGGGAACAATCGGAGAGTGAGCGATTTCAAGTCATTTGTCCGAAATGATATACATCAAGGTAATGAAAGCCGACAGGGTCAAGGAAACTGCCTTACGGGGAAAATGGAAAACCGTGTGTCGCTGTAGCCGTCACGGAGCCCAGGGAGGTGGAGGCCCAGGCCCGGTGGCAGGCGCTGGGTGCGGACCCCCCCCCACGGGGCTCAGCTGCGCCCCCCGAAACCTGCGTTGTTCCTCTGACGGACCACGCCGGACACGGGGGTGAGGTCGGCAACCCTAGAAACGGGGCTGCCTTAAACAATGTGTATCTTAAAAAAAAAAAAAAAAAAGCTTATGTAATGGACTCAGATGGCGAATATTCTTCTACTACTTGATTCTCTGTTCAACATTTCATACGGATTTCGTCCGAGTTGGAGCAAACAGCTGTGGTTCATTCATTGCGCTGCTTTGTAGCCTGGTAGGCATGACCGTACCAGGACGGAGGGCTGGTTGTTAGCAAGGCCGAGGCCCAGGTGCTGCTTTCTAAGGCCGGCGTTTCCCTCTCCCGCGTTTCAGGGTAATGGTCCTGGACAACGGGAAGATTGTGGAGTATGGCAGCCCCGAGGAACTGCTGGAAAAACCTGGCCCCTTTTATTTTATGGCCAAAGAAGCTGGCATTGAACGTGGGAACAGCACAGCACTGTGACGGCAGGTCCCGAGGCTCAGAAAGGACTAGAAGGATCATTACTTATTTAATTTCATTTTTTGAGAACTATATCATATGTAGAGAAAGGTGTGTAAAATGTGCATCTTAAAGAAGGATTGTAAGTGAACAGCTGTGTACCCGCTGCCCAGGTGAAGAAAATGAACAGCAGCAGCTCCAGCAGACTCCCCAACGAGCCCACTCTGCCCCTCATCCCGGCTACCCCACCCCCGCCCCGCCCGAGACCGCTGTGCTGAGTTCCGTGATAATTATCCCCTTGCCTTCCATTTAGTCTTACCACTTTGTATGTATCTTTAAACAATGTGTGCCTTTTTAAAAACTTATGCAAATGGCTGGCTCATACTGCACACATTCTTCCACGACTTCATTCAGTATTATGTTTGAGTCGTAGCCATTCCACGCCCATAGTGGGGCGAGTTCCTTCTCACTGCTCTGTAGTACAGCAGGGGGTGAGTGTGCTGCTGTGGACCCATTCTAATGCTGGTCAGCAGCAGGGCTTTTTTTTTCCTGTGATGAACTGTACTGCTATGAACATTCTAATATATAATTCCTGAGATGTATGTGCAGGACTTTCTTAGGGTGTAATGCAGGAAGGGGGGCGTGCACACGTTTACATGAATATATTTGGTTAATGCCAAACTGGCAATGCCGACGAAAAGCTCTTTGTCAGTCTGATGGGTATGGATTGGTACCTCAGTGAGGTTTTCACTTACATTTACCTGGTTACTGTTGAGGTTTCACAAAGTAGAGTACAAACCGCTACCTGATCACGGCCTGAGGTTCCGATATGAGGTTTCTGCTGGTTCTCACCCATGGCGCTTTATGTCCTTGCATGCCTTGTGAATTTTTACGAGAAGCTGTTCACGCTGTGGACATTCTCTGAGGCTGGGTGAGCCTGAGCTGTCCTGAGAACCCCTGCTGCCTGTGTAGGTTTCCTCAGATCCATCCCCCTATGACTACCAGGGATCAAATATGCAAAACTTAAAAAAAAATCATTTTTATTGTTGTTCTATTACCGTTATCTCCATTTGCCCCCTTTGCCCTCCTCCCCTCTCCCACATCCGTTCTCACCCTGTTGTCCATGTCTGTGGGTCATTCATTCATGTTCTGTCTTCTGCTTCAACCCTTCATTCAATGGCCACCCAGAGTCAAGGTAAAATTCCTCAGTACGGTGTAATGAAGCTCCCTAACATCTGATCCAACCTCATTTCTTCTAACTCCCATAGGCTCCAGCCACAGTAAATGCTTTTAGATTCACACACACGCACCCTTTGATTCTAGCCTTTTGCTTTTCTATCCCTTCTGCTTGGAATCCCCCGCTACCTCTAACTCATTCTGACTCAGCCAAGAGGTTCCCCTCTCCTCTTATACCCCAAGCTAGTGTCAGCGCTGTTGTCAATTTCAGTCCTTTTCTGCATCTGAACCAGAGTTCTGTGTTTGGGGACTTCCTAAACTCAGGATGCTTCGTGGGAGACAAGGGTGCAGCCATGTGACTAGGTCCCGTTAATCAGCTGTGCTGGCACCGAACGAACTTCGGACGCCCGTGACACAGAGAGGCAGGGCAATCTGTCCTGGGAAAGGTGATGGCAGTCGTGACAGGCATGGCTCTTGTCTGAGGGTAGCCGTGTGGTGGTTCCAGCTGCAAGGCCCGGCGATAGTGTAGCGTCGGGTAGTGTGGTGACTTTGTCGGAAGTTTCTATGTTTGGATCTCCCTCAGTAAGCTGTGAGCCTCTTGAAAACAGGAATAATTTCTTACTCATTTTCTTTCTCTCTTTCAGTGGCCAGAATATAGCAAGCATATGCATGTTTGTTCAAAAAAACGTTTTAAAAATTGAATGGGAAAAATGAATGACAATGCAGAAATAGAGTTGAAGAAAACAAAGTAACTCCACATTGACACATTGGCACAAACAGGAAAAAGAAATGTACCAATCAGACCTCAGTTTTCTGCAGGCTAGTTTTCTATGTGCGCCTTTCGACATATCCTCTAAAGAAATTCATTTCATTCAGGTATTAGGATGAGAATTCATTTAATCACAAATGCTAACCAGTCGTATCTTTATTTAAAATTAGCAAACAGTATTGTACAAACACTGACATTTAAATCTCTAAAAATCTAAACTTTTACAATTTAGATTTACTTAGCAAAGACCACATTCAATTATAAGCATGAATTTAGTATTCTACATAGATTAGACACTAAGCAGTTTTCTTAAAGGCTTCAATTCACCCTGTCTGAAGACACATGTAAAAGATTATGAAATTGCATTAAAAAATTGGAAGCGCTCCATTTTCATAGTATTCCTTTTTTGCTTTATAATTGGTTATGCTGTAGAATTTAAGTGTTACAGTGTAAAAAGCAACGAGTCAGGGAAGAAGAAAAAAGAGGATCATATAAAAAGCTGTATTTCCTTTAGGTAAGACAAGCATAAAAATAAGAATTACAGGAAGAAAAATGACTTAAAACTAGTTTGGTTTTTACAGACTTTTAAAAATGGACTAACACAGAGCTCTTCTTCAACTCTGACAATCAAGGCCTTGGTCGCCATGTTGACAGTCTCTCGGATGGACACCTTGGCACTCACCGCACGGCCATTCATTTGGCTGTTCTGCTCCAGAGTGTCCACAGTGAAGCACTGGTTCTGCAGCCCAGCCTTTGGGACACTTACCTGCCAGGTCAGCTCACACCTGCCTGTTCTCTCCCGGCAGCAACTCTGTTGGTATCCATCCGCGGAGACTGTCCGGTGTCGAGTTGTCCACTGGTTGTACCTCTAGAGAGACATCCCTCCCCGTGGGTGGAGCTGACACCCTTGCCCAGAGCTGGCTTCTTTGTGCACGAGCACCCGTGCGCTGCTGCATCGTGGTCTGGTTTGTTAGTTGCATCATAAAGACAGAAACTAGTCCCATAAATATTTGCCTGGTACATTTACTAGTGGTCCAGTTAGTTACTTTTATTTACAGTTATCTGTAAACCAATTACACTTTGGCAAGCTCTTCATTTTCCTTCATCAAAAGGTTTCGTTTTGCTGCATAATTGACTTCACTGTTGATGGATGACCAGGATATTTTTGTGTTAGCTGGACCTGGGGTAGAGGTGAGGCTCAAGGGCCAAGGCTGTCCTGCTGTTTTTGTAAATAAAGGTTTTTCTGGAACACGGCCATGCCCACTTGTTTCCCTGTTATCCTTGCTGGCTGTCGTGCTACAGTGGTGGCGCTGAGGGGTGGCGGCGGACTGAGTGGCCCGCAGAGCCTGAACTATGTACTGTCTGGTCATTTACAGAGGAGGTTTGCTGGTCCCTGCTCCAGCGACGCTGGTATGGCCTGGGGTGCATCCTTTCCATTCCCAAACAGACAACAGGCCTAAAGAGTGTCACGACTCTATCCCTGTGGCAGGTAGATAAAACGGTCCCCAAAGACGTCCAGGTCCTAATCCCCAGAACCCATGAGGCTTACCTTACATGGTGAAAGGGGAGGTATCGGTAAGGACATTGCGGTGGGGAGAACATGCAGCTGGGCCAGTGCAGTCACAAGGATCCTTGCGAGAGTCAGGAGGGTCAGAATCAGAATGAACACGATGTGATGAGAAGCAGAGAGGTTTGAAGATGCTGCTGATGGCTTTGAAGGTGGAGGAAGAGGCCACAAGCCAAGGGGTACAGGCAACTTCTGGAAGCTCGAAAAGGAGACAGATTCTCGCCTGGAACCTCCAGGAGGAACCAGACATACTTGACTTTTGCCCAGTGAAACAGATTTTGAGCTTCTTTTTTTTTTTTTAATTTTATTGATTATGCCATTACATTTGTTCTATTCCCCCCTCCACCCTGCATGCCCCTCCCCCACCATTCCCCCCCTTTAGTTCATGAACACGTGTCTCAAGTTCTTTAGATTCTGTATTTCCCCCTACTATTCTTACCCTCCCCCCTATCTATTTTCTATCTACTGTCTATGCTACTTGTTTTCTGTACCTTCTCCCCCCTTCTCCTTCTCCCACTCCCCTGTTGCTAATCCTCCACATGATCTTCATTTCTATGATTCACTCCTGATCCAGTTGTCCTCTGAATTTGCTTTTGTTTTAGGTGTGGTTGTTAATAACTGTGAGTTTGCTCACAGTGAGTTCAACTTTTTTATCTTCTTTTTCTTAGGTAAATCCCTTTAACATTTCATATAATAAGGGCTTGGTGATGATGAACTCCTTGAATTTGATCTTATCTGAGAAGCACCTTATCTGTCCTTCCATTCTAAATGAAAGTTTTGCTGGATAGAGCAATCTTGGTTGTAGGTCTTTAGATTTCATGACTTGGAATATTTCTTTCCAGCCCCTTCTTGCCTGTAAGGTCACTTTTGAGAAATCTGCTGACAGTCTGATGGGGACTCCTTTGTAGGTGATTGTCCCCTTAGCTCTTGCTGCTTCTAGGATTCTCTTCTTCATTTTAATTTTGGCTAATGTAATTATGATATGCCTTGGTGTGTTTCTTCTTGAGTCCAACTTTTTTGGTACTCTCTGAGCTTCTTGGATTTCTTGGAAGTCTATTTCCTTTGCCAGACTGGGGAAATTTTCTTTTATTATTTGTTCAAATAATTTTTCCACTGGTGGTTGTGTCTTTCCCCCTTCTGGTACCCCTATAATTCGGATATTGGAGCGTTTAAAGATGTCCTGGAGGTTCCTAAGACTCTCCTCATTTCTTTGAATTCTTGCTCCTTGACTCTTTTCTGTTTGGCCATTATTCGCTTTCTTCTGGTCCACTCCATTGATTTGAGTCCCAGTTTCCTTTTCATCTCTATGGGTTTCCTGTGGAATTCCATTAATTTCCCTTAGTTTAGCCTTCATATGTTTCTCTAATTTGTGGCTATAATCAACCAGATCTGTGAGGATTCTGATGACCAGTGTTTTAAACTGTGCGTCTGAGAGTTTTGCTATTTCTTCGTCGCTTAGATTTATCTGTGGGGCTTTGAGGTCTTCCTGCGACATTTTTGGTC